AAGCCCCAGAAACAAGCAAACAAACAGCAACTTTACGCTAAAACATGGTCGTCTCATGATAGAAATAGCACCTGTCTCCCAGTAAACAGTGTTTAATTAGGTCTTCTGAACTATCATAAAACAACCTCAACTACAGGTTACTACTTTGATTACACACCATACCATATCATATCACATCCAACACTAGACAAAGATACAAAGAGAAACAAGTAAACTCAAGAACGTACTTAGCAGTAACTTCTTTTCTAGCAATGACAGATAACATATACACACACCATGTTTTGTAGAGAGAGGTATCAGTTTTCTAATTCGAATTCGATTTCGATTTCGATTTCGAATCCATTACAAGATTTCTTATATGTGATATTGTCATAAGAAGCTATTTCGAAGATGTATATCTGATGAACAAATAGCAGAGAACAACCACCCCCCCTCCCTCCCTCCCTTGTTCTTGGTATATGAGGGTTGTATAGCTCAAATCTGTTTTAACTATCCACTATATTTGCATCAATATCTTGAGTCGTACTAGCCTCTGGTTGGACGTTAACCTCTTAGATGTTTTATTCGAAGGAGGTTTCGTCAATGGGGGGTGGTAGTGGGGGGCTAGCTATAAGATGCTGGTAGTATTTGCAAATTTCATTGTTACTGTAGGCATCCTTAAGATTCAATTGATATATTTATAAATTGTAGTTAGAGTATATGGAGAGAGAGAGTGCTGTCTCACCACCGCTTTAAATATTACTGTTACCACACAAACATAGAATATATAAGGGACAAGAAAGGATGCAGTTTTGTAGTAGTAGTTATAATGATTCAATGTGGATTAGAAGGGAACGTTTCCTTCGTTCTGATTTAGTTTACGTTGATCGTATTCCTTGTTTTCTGGTCTATATATAAGACATAAGTTTAAAGCATTTGTTTCACTTGGATTTATATCCTATTCTTGTCTGTTTCTTGTGATGTCTTCTTATTAAATGCACATATAAAATCAGCGACACATTTTGTGAAAAATCGTAGTCAATATATATAGCAATTGTTCGTTTTGGCTATTGCTGAGGTATATTAATCAATAACTACAGAGCTAATCAGGTTAATTCTTTAAAACCGCAATGTCTTTCCAAGTGAAATCAATTCCAACCAAACCATACCAAGATCAAAAGCCAGGTACTTCTGGTCTTCGTAAGAAGACTAAGGTATTCGCAGAAGAACCTAACTATACTGAAAACTTTATTCAAGCCACTATGGATGCTATTCCAGAAGGTTGTAAGGGTGCTACTCTAGTTGTTGGTGGTGATGGTCGTTATTACAATGATGTTATTATGAACAAGATTGTTTCCATTGCAGGTGCCAATGGTGTACGCAAGTTGATTATTGGACATAATGGTATATTATCTACACCAGCTGCTTCTCATGTCATTAGATCTTACAAGGAAAAATGTACCGGTGGTATCATTTTGACTGCTTCTCATAACCCAGGTGGTCCAAAGAATGATATTGGTATCAAGTACAATTTGGCTAATGGTGGTCCAGCTCCAGAAAGTGTTACCAACGCAATTTGGGAAGCCTCCAAGAAATTGACCGAATATAAGGTCATTGAAGGATTGCCAGAATTGGATACCTCAAAGATTGCCGTTGATATTAAATATGGACCATTATTGGTTGATATCATCGATTCCACTGAAGCTTATGTCGACTATTTGAAAGAAATTTTTGACTTTAAGTTGATCAAGGAATTTGTTACTAAACAACGTGAAACTAAAGGCTGGAAATTGTTATTTGATTCATTGAATGGTGTTACCGGTCCATACGGTGAAGCTATTTTCGTAAAAGAATTGGGATTGCCAGCTGATGAAGTCTTACAAAACTGGCATCCATTGCCAGATTTCGGTGGTTTACACCCAGATCCAAATTTAACATATGCACACACATTAGTTGAAAGAGTTGACAAAGAAAATATTCAATTTGGTGCTGCTTCTGATGGTGATGGTGACAGAAATATGATATACGGTGCAGGTCCAGCATTTGTATCACCAGGTGATTCTGTTGCTATTATCAGTGAATATGCCGATGAAATCCCATATTTTGCCAAGCAAGGTATTTACGGTGTTGCCAGATCATTCCCAACATCCAGTGCTCTAGACCGTGTTGCCAAAGCTAAGGGTTTGAACTGCTACGAAGTTCCAACTGGTTGGAAATTCTTCTGTGCATTGTTCGATGACCAAAAGGTATCTATATGTGGTGAAGAATCATTCGGTACTGGTTCCAATCATATTAGAGAAAAGGATGGTGTCTGGGCCATTGTTGCTTGGTTGAACATCTTAGCCATTTACAATAAGCACAACCCAACCAAAGATGCCTCTATTGCCACAATTCAACACGAATTCTGGCAAAAGTATGGTCGTACTTTCTTCACCCGTTACGATTACGAAAACTTAATGTCTGAAGATGCCAACAAAGTAGTTGAAAAATTGAAGGCCTTTGCTAATGATCCAAAGACATTGAATGCTCCTTTCCCAGGCAATCCAGAATTGACTGTCACTGAAAGCGGTGACTTCTCATACACCGATTTGGACGGATCAGTTTCTGCCCACCAAGGTTTATACTTCAAACTATCTAACGGTGCCAGAATCGTATTAAGACTTTCAGGTACCGGCTCATCTGGTGCTACCATCAGATTGTACTGTGAACAGTACACTGACGATAAATCCAAGTATCAAGAATCAGCTGAAAATTACTTGAAGCCTGTACTAAACAGTGTCATCAAATTCTTGCAATTCAAGGAATTTATCGGCACTGAAGAACCAACAGTCAAGACCTAAACTCTACAACCAATTTAGAAGAGAAATGACGACACATTGAATATCTCTATATATTTGTACCCAGTGGAATTCCCTTCCTTATTATATAGTTAGCACTTACATATATCTATAACTATACATATACACACGATAAATAAAATTGACGTTACGAACCAACAAAACAATGCAAAACAAAACAAAGCAAAGAAAAAATGTTAATCTCCCCTTGACCTTAAAATCTGACACTCAATGTATATCATCTTCTATCAGAAGTGGTAAATGTGACTTTGCCAGTTCCTTCACTTTTTAAACTACTTGATCGGAACCTTCTTCCACATCACCAAAAGAGACACAAGAAAATCCAATAAAACGATTAAATAATATATAGATCAACTCCCTTGATGCTCAATTCATCTTCCTCCCCCATCCCTCCCTCCCTTTCCCATCATATCTTTAACAATCCATCCATTTTAAAGCTCATCACATCAGCTTTCCTCAACTTATACGTCATTTCTGTCGTTGAAGTATCGAAATCGAAATCGAATCAGGATTGGGAAAATATAAAGTGGGTCTATAAGAGCAGTAAAGGTTTGATGTTTAAGAGTAGACAGATTTATTTGAGATGGGAGTTGTTTAATCTGTTTGGGTGTAGTGGATGTGCAATTAAAGTGTGATTCTAGTATTGTTATTTTGTTTTGTTTAATCGAGGGTGCGTTTTACAAGGAGAGTAAGGATATAATTTACATTTTATATATAAAATACGATATTTTGGTGTTTAAAGGCAGTATAGATCTCAGTTAAGAAGGGATGCATTCGTGGAAGATATCTAAGTTTAGGTTTGGGAAGTCTAAGGATGAGAAGATTGGTGATGATAAAGGTGGGTTAGGTTTGCCTGGCAGTGGTGATAATAGTACTAGTGATCTTGATGTTTCTATTCGTGACGATTCTAGTTCTGGAGTACGTTCTTCTACTGAACAGAGAAGTGTTGGTATTGGTAGGAACTCTTCGAACGTTGCTTCTGTGAGGGCATCTCAGGATGGTAGTTCATCAGCTTCTACTGAAGGTGACAGGGCTACTAAACAGTCTACTCCCAATGGTTTAGAAGTTGGGAACGGTGTAAGTTCTGAACCAAATACAGATACTTCTTCTTCTGGGATAATGACGGTGAAAGTTTACAAAGGGGATGGGTTTGTTTTACCTTTCCCTATCACTTCAAATCAGCAAGTGTTGAGTAAGCTTTTAAACTCTGGGGTTTCATCTTCTAATGGAGGGTTGCTTGAAGAGGCTGATTTGTTGTCGTCGCAATTAGCCCGTTTATCATTGGAAAAACAAGGTTCAAGTGAAGAAATTGTCCTTCCTGGTGATTCTTATACAAAATTCATTCCTTCCACTGTTAAACTTCCCGGTTCTGAAACTTTAAATCCCCTTATTTATTTCACTATAGAATTTGATAACACTGTTGCTACTATTGAACCTGAATATGGTACAATGACGCGTCCTACATTTAATAAAATATCAGTATTTGATGTTACAAGAAAGTTGCCAAATTTGAAAATTGATATCTTCGGTAGAATCCCATCGATATTATTGCCTTCAGAATCTTGGCAACAAACTTACGGATCGCAAGATGAAAATTTGAAAAATATCTTGGAGAAGATAAAATCAAATCAAGACATCCAATTAGGCTCCTTCTTATTACCTGTTAATTTAAAGATCGACTCAGCTGCTAACATTAGACTATATAGTCACCATTGGGTCACTTTAGACAATAAATTGGGAAAGATATGCTTAACTGTAGACTATAAACCTTCTAAGAATAAACCATTGTCTATTGATGATTTCGATTTGTTGAAAGTCATTGGTAAAGGTTCTTTTGGTAAAGTAATTCAAGTAAGAAAAAAAGACACTCAAAAAATTTATGCTCTAAAAGCAATTAGAAAAGCCTACATCGTTTCTAAATCTGAAGTTACACACACTCTAGCGGAAAGAACAGTTCTATCAAAGGTAGACTGCCCATTCATCGTACCACTTAAATTCTCATTTCAATCTCCAGAAAAGTTATACCTAGTATTAGCATTTATCAATGGGGGTGAATTGTTTTTCCATTTACAAAAAGAAGGTAGATTTAGTCTATCAAGATCCCGTTTCTATGCAGCTGAATTGTTGTGTGCTTTAGAGACGTTGCACAAATTTGATGTTATTTACCGTGATTTGAAGCCTGAAAACATTCTGTTAGATTATCAAGGTCACATTGCATTATGTGATTTTGGTTTATGTAAATTGAATATGAAAGATAAAGATCAAACCGATACATTCTGTGGTACCCCAGAATATCTAGCTCCAGAACTGCTACTAGGACAAGGTTATTCAAAAGTAGTCGATTGGTGGACTCTGGGTGTTTTGTTATATGAGATGTTAACAGGTTTACCACCATATTATGATGAAGATGTCCCTAAAATGTACAAGAAGATTTTACAAGAACCACTTAGATTCCCTGACGAATTTGATAAAGATGCTAAAGACCTTCTAATTGGATTATTGAGCAGAGATCCAAAGAGAAGATTGGGTTATAACGGTGCTCAAGAAATCAAAAGTCATCCATTCTTCAGTCAATTATCATGGCAACGTCTATGGATGAAAGGTTACATCCCACCATATAAACCACCAGTGGTAAGTTCAGTTGACACAAGTAATTTCGATGAAGAATTTACTAGAGAAAAACCAATCGACAGTGTTGTAGATGAGTTCCTAAGCGAAAGTGTTCAACAACAATTTGGAGGTTGGACATACGTAGGAAACGAACAACTAGGTAGTTCAATGGCTCAAGGAAGAAGCATCAGATAGAAGTCATCTAATTAAGTAACCCTATATATATAGATATATAGATAGATATACCTAAATCAACTAAATCAACTCAAATATTAATATATACTCAACTAAACTCTCTTAGGCATTACTAGAAAAATTGCGAATTAAACCTCTTCTATCCCCCTCCCCCCGTCTCTGCCCCCAATAAATATATAAAATACATTCATTCATACATTTAATTAGAATCAACCATTCATTTAACCAATTCATTAAATTGTCAATCAATCAATACCCATCTCATCTCATTGTCATCGTTGGTTGGTTTCACCCACTTTAAAGCCTGACGTAATTTGAGGCGATGCCAGTTCTTAATAAGGGAAAAACGAATATTTTAACAAAAGAGAGGGATAAAAAATTAGTTGAGCTGATGTATAATAGGATTTGATTAATGATTTCGATGTTTTCATGATTAATAGATATATAAGGTTGAAGTTGTGGTTTGATTAGTGAAATTACTTTATATTAATATTCTATTTTTGCTACTGAAGGGATATTTTATGGTTTTTTAGTTTGGTTAAAGTCCATATGATGATTATTGAAGGAGATATTAGTGGCCAAGAGGCTGTAAAAAATGTGATATATGGGACGTTTCTACCTGTTGATGATCCATATCCTGTAACCCCACCGATAGATCATGATAATGAGACTGTTAGTTTAGCATTTTTGATAAGTCTATCGGTTACATTTGCTCTTTTGATGATTCTTTTAGTGGCTACTGCAGCTTATGTTATGTTCTGTGGTGCTGATGAGGCCGAATATGATGAAGAGACAGGTGAAGGGTCGAGTTCAAGCGTTACTGGTATTCATACGTTTTTTGGTAAGAAAGGTGGTGGCATATTGTTAGATTCTACTTTTTGTAGTCCTGGTCAGTTTGATGATGAAGAAGCTTTACGTGAACAAGAAGAACAAGAGCTTCCCAAGATGTCGAAATTTGAAATTGAACTATATAAAAGGTCTAGAGAATTTCAGAATTTGAACCCACCATTGGTTAAGGAGTTTGGGACGTATTTGAACACCTCAGATCGTCAGTTCATCAAGGATCGTGGTATTCAAAGTTATTATTTTTATCCAAGTATTAATGATAATGTTGATAAATATGGTAATTTTTTACCTAGCTTTTTAGTACAGGATAAGCTAGATGTTACTTTTACGGAGTATAACAAGAGCTCATCCACTTTATTAAATTATCCACTTCCATTCAATAAGAAAGAGGCAGTTTACTTTGAGGTTAAAATATTCAAATTCCCTACAAATTCTAATACTATTTTTAGTATCGGCCTAGTTACATGTCCGTATCCATATTTCAGAATACCTGGAATGTCCAGATACTCCATAGCATACGAATCCACTGGTAAGTTGCGTATTAACAATCCGTTTGGCGCCTCAACCTTGTTACCTCGACTTCAAGAGGGCGATGTAGTTGGGTTTGGGTATAGGTATAAGATGGGTACAGTATTTATAACACATAATGGTAAGAAGATGATGGACGTGACGCATAATGTTGGTGTTGATCTGTTTGTTGGTCTGGGGGCGTTGAACGCATCCTACACTAGGACCTACACTAAGGACGGATTGCTGGAAGATCCAGATAATGTCGATATAAGAGAAGCGCTGTCGCAAGGACGCGAAGTTGAACTGCCAGATGCAATTCAAAAGGTCTACGATCCAGAAAACTTAACCCCAGTTGCAGCCGATGAAGTTGAATTACAAGTGAACTTGGGACAAGTTGGGTTCGTATTCATTGAAGCCAACGTTAAGAAGTATGGGTTTGGGAGTGTTCTTGGAGAGATAGGTATACCACCAGCATATAACGGTGATGAAATCAAACGCAATGCGATTATCCAAAAGGGAGAAGAGATGCCACCTAAATATGGGTTTGAAGAAGGAGACCGTAATTCGTTTTTTGGGGACATTCACATATATGAAGGTCACCACCAATTAGAGGCGGAGGAGCTACCAGAAGGCAACGGTGGAGTAACCACGACACAAGATGCGGGTGCCAGGGCAGCAACCGATTACGAGAGAGTGTCGTCGGCGTTTGACAGAGAGAACAACGACACAACGAAGGATCCGGCAGACGAGATACTGCACAACCAGACGGCAGCCAATACAACGAAACCAAACAAGACCAGCAATAACAACAACAAGAACCACAACAACAAGAAACGTAACAAGCGCAACAAAAGGAGAAAGTAGAGCATATAATATAATATATTAATTAATACATAGAAATACATATACATATACATATACATATCTAGCATAATTTTATTTTTATACATTAACAGAAGGTCGAAATGAAATACAAATACGGTTAAGGTTCCCTAAATGGATTGGAATGAGATATTCAGGCGTTCGGCGTTAATCGACAGGTTGTCATCCATAAGGTTCCAGTTATCAACATCGATGGACGTAGAGAGGGACGGAACAGGGGAAAAATTAGCCCAAGGTATATGTGTTTTTACCCGGTCCATGATTGTAGTCCGGGTAAAAAGGAAGAGACGAACATAACATAACAGAACACCTGAGGAACTGAAAAGAAAACCGTCTCAGAGAGAGCAGCCACCATGGGTCTGCTGACACCACTGTCAACAACCTCTTGGTAGTTTTGAATTTGGTTATGCCCATGCAAGACCCCTCCGCCTCCGTGGGTGGCCTCAAACAGCTTCATCACCATACCTCTTTGAGAAGGAATCGCCAGACACGACTCCATAAACAGAACAGGCTGGGCATAGAAGAGTATCTCCGTGGAATTCACTCTGTAAGCAGATACCCTCTCCAGCCCAAGAAAAAACGTTCGGCCGAGCCTACCCTCGCTACCCCTTCACCAGCACCTTCACCTTCACCAGCACAGACTACTCAAACCTCTTTCCCTAACGCCCGGCTCAGCCCGCGGGAATCTCCCCCCAGGCGGAACCGGGTCCGCCGTTATCGTCGCCAGATCCCTCCCCTGTCCGCTCCAGCCCAACTGGAACATCTCTTGATCCATTTCGAAATCCACCACCTCACATCGTCCAGCGCTGCTCTCTCGTCCTGTCCTCCCTGAAAGAAAACCCAGAAACAAGAAACTAGAAACAAGAAGAAACAAGAAGAAATAAGAAGAAATAAGAAGAAATAAGAAAACATTACAACAACCAGTCAAGACAAAACGCCCAGCAAATTTTCGAAACCCGTTCTCTCATTTCCAAACAACTCTTTCGAAACTGCTATTTCAGCAATGTTAACGGCTGAGGTAAGGCCAAACAAGTTTCGAAACAAATAAACTCAACTCAACTCAACTTAACTAGACGGTTGACTATTTAAGTAAACTTATTTGGGGGCCTGCTTCATTACCATAAATATGCCCCCAAATGGCTTATTTACAGGCTCATTTCATGTACACATAATATGGTTAGTATAGTAATATAAAATATATTCATATTCATATATTTATTATATATATACTTATACTTATTCTTGGGTATACGCCCACTCCATATTCGTGATTAATCAGGGCGTATTTTGCATTCTTCCCAAGGAGTCTCTTGGTTTCGTTTTGTTTCGTTTTGTTTTCGAAATTAGCATTACGTTCATCTATATATTCATATCCTGCTTCCTCATTTATTGATTTGATTTAAATTTTTTTTTTTTGGGCTTCTATATATATATATATATATAGATAGTCATATACATATAGAAACTTGATATTACGTTAGTGATTTGGTAATTAGCTTCCGCTGAGGTTCTCTATATCAGATATGAATGTGAATAAAGTATTGCCCATACCAACTATAAAAAATCCCGACATGTCAGATTACGATGTCGGATCCATCAGTGCTGGGTCCAACAGTGGTGGCTCCATAGATATTGATTCGAATTCTGAATCGGAGAATGATAGTGATAACTTCATGCATCCTAAAGTATATGAAAAGTCGAGGAATAGAAGATTGTCTGACGAATACCCTGCGGATATCCAACCTCTGATGTTTAGAATGACTCTCCCGTTGGATGGCCAAAACAATAATACCCTTGCAGGGCAGGAAGGAATAGATTCCCTCACCGCACCAAAGTTATCAAAAACCCTGTCAAAGGTTAAACGGAAACTGGTATCCATCCCCAGATCTGAGTATCTCAACTCCAGAAATGGGATGTATTGGTTCAGCTCAATCGATGAATCCCAATTGGAAAAACATCTGAGAGAGCCTTCGTATATTAAGGTATATAAGAAAAGAAGGGATATGACAAGATTTAATAGATTATTCATGGCACAAGAACTAAAGGCTTTCGATGATTCGAATGGGAAGTACACTATAAATAAAAATACAGATAATTCAAGGGCTATTTGGGTTACAAAATTCAGCAAAGATGGGAAACTTATGGCTACTGCTGGTAAAGATGGATGTATTAGAATATGGAAAGTGATTAGCTCTCCAGTAGAGAGATGGGAAATTAACGGTATGCAGGAATCAACAAAACAAGCAAATGTACAAAATGTGATACGAAGAAGACAAGTGGCCAATGCTTATCAAAACTCTAATGATAGTGAAAGTAGAAGACTTACAAATACCTTTGATGATATTAAAGAAGCAGTCAATTTATTTGCTCCCGTTTTTAAACCACTCCCAGTTAGAGTATTTCAAGAACATTCTCAAGACATTTTAGATTTAGACTGGTCAAAAAATGGATTTATTCTCACATCTTCTATGGATAAAACTGTTAAATTATGGCATCCAGATAGAGCTGTTTCTCTGAGGACTTTCAAACATCCAGATTTCGTTAGTTCAGTAAGGTTCCACCCACATGACGATCGTTTCTTCATTTCAGGATGTCTTGACCATAAATTGCGTGTATGGTCAATCTTAGATGAAGAAGTATCTTTTGAATACGACTGTCAAGATTTAATAACAGCAATTTCATTATCTCCTAATAATTCAGAATACACAGTAGTAGGAACTTTAAACGGTTATATTCATGTAGTGAAAACTCGTGGTTTATCGTTTGTATCTGCATTTCATGTTAGAGAAAGGCATGAATTATCAAAAGGTCCTGGACAACCACCAATTATACAACTGAAACGTCAAGGTCCGCGTATTACTGGTTTGCAATGTTTTTATCCAGATCAAATAGACTCTTTAAGAATATTGGCTACCTGTGATGATTCAAGAATTAGAGTAATACGACTGTCAGATAGAAAATTATTAGAATATTTAAAAGGGTTCCACAGTGGATCCACTCAACATCAAGCACAATTGGCTACAGTTTCAAATAGACCTGTGGTTATTAGTGGCAGTGATGACCAATGGATTTATGGATGGACTTTACAAACAAATGTCGAAGAAGATGCAATTCAGCCAATACCCAAAAGTGGTATCCATAGATCTAGTAGCATTAAGAATTTCATTAAAAGTACAATACGTAAGTCATGCGATTTTGGTGAGAAGCTTAAATCTGAGGCAACGCATTTACAACATTTACATATACCCAATGTTCTTAAATATAAAGGGCATAATACCATTAGGAATAGTGCATATGTTTCGTTTCGTGGTCATTTAGGGAAAGTTACAACAGCGGTGATTGCACCCCCTGAAGTTATGAAAACATTATCTCTTTCAAACGATTTTATTTGTGAATTATCGATGGAATATTTTACTGAATTAGAAAACTCTAATGAGAAGAACCTCCGCCCTACAAGATCAACACCTAGTAGTCAATCTGCAGTTGCTACAACTCTTGTTTCTACAGGTTCTGTACCCAGTAAGACTAGTTTAAATGGCCAATCACCTTTACCTCCCATGATTGAGGTGGTTGGTACAGTGATAGTGTCAACTGATAATTTGGGTATAATCAGAGTATTCCGTGTTGATTTACCATCACGTATACGTAAGATGATTTTACAAAAACTGGTTAACGCTGAAAATAACCTCAAAGAAGATTTAAGTCGTCTAGACCTCTCTGTTTCTACTTCATCAAAGGCTGATAACAGCACTACTAAAGGAACAAATTCGCTATCGTTAGACGTTCAAAAATCATGTCTTCTTCCAAATGGCACTATTAAGTCTTCGTTATTTGGAACGCAAAGTAACAATTCATCAGTCCCACCGCCAGCTAAAAAGATACCATCGATTAGTTCGAGTTCAACATTAATCATTGACTCTCAATTTAAACAATTTCCCTCGAACGCATTATGTGACGTTTGTAATGGTACTAGATTCCAGTTCCGTCCAGATGATGTAAGTTCGGGGGGAGGAGCATACTATTGTACAGACTGTAATACAGTTTATAATAGTTTTAGGTAATTAATTAACTAGCATATTTATTTAAATCCTGTAATTAGCCAAGTTTAACAAGAACTTAACGTTGATTGGTGAACTGTATCTAAGAGGTATTGATATTTTAACTATATTTCAAACAATTTGTCAGCTTGTCATTAAAAGTCTATTTGACCTTGATAAATATTACAATGCGTTAAATGAAGTGATGTAAAATAGTAGAGGGGAATTCGATTTATGAGTTATAATTTTTAGGTGAAAATAGTGACACTAGGCTCATAAAACTGAGAAGTAGATTGTCGAGATTAAGCAAAGATTGAATTGACTTAGGTAAAACTTTATCAAGATAAACTTTAAAAAAAGTTTTGTTTCATCAAAATATTCTGTACTATCATAGTTAAATGCAAACCTCAGATGTTGGATAAGATGATGAAATAATATGTCACTTTCATGTACTGGTTAATTGTTATAGAAATAATGTAAGGAGTAATCAATTAAAAATTTGGAGAAAATATTGCTGTAATCAGATGAGATTACTTGATGATCTTGGAATTGAAGTGGTGATACAAGTGACATTCGCAAGGTTTAACTATAAGATCAGTCATTTTTAGGTTTAGTCACATGATTGTGTATGTTACTTGTGATTGGTTTTAACTAACTTGATACGAATTAACCTTAACAATAAGCATTGAACGTATAAGATTTCTTCACATTGATTATTTGAAGGCTAGTCTATAAATAAATGAGTCCTTCTTACTAATAGTTCTTGTAATATTGTTATATATAGTATCCTATATGATGCCACATTATCATACTAGTAACATGTTTCATTTAAAATAATGGGTACACGTTAATTATTCGAAGGAAAATTTAGAGAAGGTCAATCGTGCTTGCAAGTAAATATTACAGATGAATACCTGGTGAATTACCATTAGAAGTTTAAAGTACAATAATATTTTAGGATTTCTAAGGCTAAAATAACTAGATTTTTCAGTAAAGTGGATATGTTTAATCAATAGTGCCATACACTGAGTAAAAATTTCATTGAAATGATTCAAAAGAAGGTTCTGACCTCTTATTATCATTACTCAAATGTATAATCGATATTTAAATATGGTCCATATATTGGCCTATTCGAAATATTGGCAGTGTATTTGGTACCTGATATTACAAAACTTAAACTATACTTATTCATAGTAATTGAGCAGAAGAATGAAACTAAGAAGAATAAACAAAGGATTGAAAGGATTGAAAGGGTTGAAAGGATGTGGAACATGAAGGTTTAATGCCTAAGTGATGACCATACAAGAATTATCAGGAATTTTACGTCAATGATCTATTCTGAATAGATATATTTCCTAATTGATAATTTTAAGTGTCAGTTTTGGATTGTCTAATACTTACCATCTCAAAATTTGAAATAAATGTGGTTTATCAGGACATTGCACTTGTCTAAGTATCTCAGGTTTAAACTCCCATATGATTTTATACATTAATAAGTTACACTGGATGCATGGCACTTACAGCTTTTACAATATCTGTGTGTCACTTTTTAAGAACCATCGTGGTCCTGTCCCAAAAGTCTCATCTCATAATCACAAGATTAAGCTTATATTGAAAAGATACATATGTATCTAAAAACTTTGTTACTTATGGACCTCCATATGTCAAGGATGTGCTCATCAATGCCATTCATTGTTGGATCACCTTATTCATAGACTTACTACATAATGAAATGAATTCCACGAATCCATCCCTAACACGTGACTGTGAGTATACGTCATCGTTGACAACGAACGTTTCCGGAACCGGCCCGGTATCATACAACACCATTACTATGATTCATAATTAATATAATAAGGATAATTCAAGTGTTGAAAACTTAATCAAACTTGAACAGGCTCATCTCTGATTGTCATAACAAGGAAATTGAAACTAATGACTCAGCTTTTGAATTTAGCAGGTATATAAGAAGGACTTCAATTCATCCATCTAGATAAATTTATTCGAATCGGGTTGAATTCGTAAATTATTGTTCAAATAGCTATAGGGTTATCCGGAAGAAGTTAAAGTTCTGTCCAAGGAGTGAATATATTACACTGTTGAACAAGAGATTATTTGGATAAATATAAAATTAAACTTACGGATACAACTAATTATTATTTTGATATATAATAATGGCAATTGAAAAAAAAGAAGTGGTGGTGGAGAAAACTGCTGCTCAGAAGATTTCAAAATTTGGTTCATTCACTGCTGGTGGTATAGCAGCATGTATTGCTGTGACATTTACAAATCCAATTGAGTTGGTGAAAATTAGAATGCAACTACAAGGTGAATTAGCTGCTGTAGGTGAAGGTATTTATAAAAATCCAATTCAAGGTGTTGGTGTAATTTTCAGAAATGAGGGTATAATGGCATTGCAAAAGGGTTTAAATGCTGCTTATATATATCAGATTGCCTTAAATGGTTCAAGATTAGGGTTTTATGAACCTATAAGAACTGCTTCAAACAGGGCCCTATTCCCTGGTCAAGATCCACATAAGAAACAGAGTGTGGCAGTTAACGTATTTTCTGGTGCATCTTCTGGTATTATTGGTGCAGTTATTGGCTCACCTTTATTTTTGGTTAAAACTAGATTGCAATCTTACTCAGAAGCATTTAAAATCGGTGAACAAACACATTATAGAGGAGTTTGGGATGGGTTAAAAACTATTTATAGATCCGAAGGTATTAGAGGATTGTACCGTGGTATTGATGCGGCTATCCTAAGAACAGGTGCTGGTTCTTCTGTTCAATTGCCTATCTACAATACCGCCAAGAATTTCTTGTTAAAAAATAGGTTGATGAAAGATGGACCACTGTTACATTTAACGGCAAGTACCATTTCAGGTATGGGGGTTGCTGTAGTAATGAATCCGTGGGATGTTATCTTAACAAGAATTTATAACCAAAAAGGTGACCTATATAAGGGGCCAATAGATTGTTTTATTAAAACTGTAAGAATTGAAGGTGTTTCTGCATTGTACAAAGGTTTTGAAGCCCAAATATTCAGAATAGCGCCTCATACAATTCTATGTTTGACTTTCATGGAACAGACAATGAAACTAGTCTACTCAGTAGAGAAGAAAATATTGGGGCATGACTAGAATCAATCAAGTAATTAATTAATAACTTTTATAGAGTATTCGTAAAATCATAATGCATCCTTTTTTTTTAATTAATTATAAATTGGTTTAAATATATTATAGTCCAAATGAAGTATTGAAAAGATTATAATTTGATCGTTTTCACTATCTGTCTGTTTTCAAATTTGGACCTTTCCAGGTTTTTTGCTTCCTCAATTTTTCGTAAATAACTGCTATAAACTACAACTTCTGCAACTAATACCAGTAACCCAAAAAACAAGCATAATAAAATTCTATATTCAGCAGATATATTCATTGATGAATTTGTCCAATACCATATAGCGGTAACTACAGATATTACACTTATAATGATATTAAAAATCGTTGTTACTTGTTCTTTGATCTGTTTATTCATTTGCGATGGTGATACCCAGTCATCATCTCTATTAATCTTGATCCTCTCTTTATTCAACATTTCTTGGTATGATTCCTCTTGCTGTTTAGTTTTCAAGTATTCTAATTGACTTCTGAATTCCTCACTATAATCACTTCCAGGAATCCTTTTCTCTTTGTATTTAAAGTCTAATGGACACAATAACTGGCTCATAGTGATATCATCAGTACTTTTCTTGCTTTTATAAAATTCTAACAATGAATTCATACTAATTGAATCATTTGCTAGTATCTTCTTTAACTCATCTTTATTCTCAACACATTCTAAGCCGTTTAAAAACTTGGAAATGTTTTCATTCAACTTGATCTCGAACATACTCAACACTATATCTATATCGATAGTCTCGATTTAATGCCCTAGATCACCCTTCTATATCATTCAATAACTTTCTAGATGTTATAAATTGTGTTATACCATTAGTTTTATCAGATTCTTCTCTTATTGTATATTTTCTTCTTGAAACTTTAATTTAAGCAGTTAAATATAAATTTGGCAAAGGTTTAAATTTCAAGAACTAACTAAATAAAATCAACATACAAGGAAATGACACCAACAGGTATAAAAAAGATTGGAATTGTTTGTATAAGTATTTATTACAATATACCTATTGTTTTTGGAAGTTTTAGCTGTATCTATAAATTTCTATTGCGTTTGATTTGAGACAAGAGTATAATTAATTTTACCGTTAAATTACGACATTAATATTTTAATGAATTATGTATTTTAAGTTTAAAATTATTACTTTATTTTTGTCAATTAAAATTATTTTATCAAAGTGTTATTACCGGAATGCATGGTTCCAATTGTTTCGATTTAATCATTCACAATTTTTTACATATGCCATTTAATTTATATACGTTATTGAAAAGACCACTTCCTGAGAAGCAGTAGTACTATGACGTTATCGTATTAATACAATTGCAGAACTTCAACTTGGTTCTAACAAAGAATACGAAGGATCTCTTTAAAGGTATTTACAATTCAATTGCCCACAAGGAGACACACCATCTAGTTGAAAAATACTACTTCAGTAATAAATATACTTATATATTGCATGACAATTTCAACTCGATTAACTTTATGGTTAAACCCAGTTTTTATATAAGAGCCGATGAACTAATTAAAAAGACATAAGGTTTGATGTTTCTACGGAATAGACAGTACTGACACTTCTATATACCTAATATATATATTGGTAAGAGCTCCATTTTTGACATGGTTTCAAGGTAGCCAAACCATGAATGTAACCAGGTTCAACACATAACATGTTCTGATAACCATCCTTTGGATCGAAATCACCCATACCTTTAGCCTTTTCAATCCATGGGTTCCAAACTACAACATCTGGCAAGTTACTTCTAATCAATGTAACAAGTGGGGTACCACTCTTAGCATCCATGATATGAACAGGCTTAACTGTCTTCACGTTTAGATATCTTCTATCAACTTCTTCACCAATGATGACTTTTGAATTCAATTCGGTGGCATCTTTACCTGTTATGTTATCATGTGTGCTGTCATCTTTCAAGTCACAGACATAGACATCGTTAATGTTATTAATTTTATAATAGGTGTGGAACAACCAGTTGAAATCAAAAGCTTCTTGACCATCATTAAAGATATCAACATAGGTCTTCAAATGATCGGAACCCAATTCAACATTATACTTAATTGTAAATTTATAAGGCCATAGTTTGATCAATTTTTCGTCAGCTATAGATTCATTCAATTCAAATTGAACTGTTGGTGGGTGTGATCTAACCAAACCATTACATTTCCAAACAGAAGTTCTTGCAAAACCATGTTGTGGCAAGTCTTTTAGGTATTTGTCGGTAGTGTTCTTACCGAATGCTGGGAAAACCAATGGAATACCACCTCTAACAGCTTTAGTACCATCTAACTTGGCAGATGTAGACAACCATAGCTTTTCTTTACCATTGGACTTCCAAGAGTATACTGTTGCACCGTATTTCAAAATAGTGACAGAAGTATTTGGGTTTTCTGGATGAACCAAAGTAACAGCTGAATCAGTTTCTTGAATTGACATTATGTTATAAAAAAGATTAGGTGATTTATCGATTGGTTGTAGAAGGTAGAGATTTCTTATATAAAGAACCTTTACTTAGCTAGACAAGAGAAGCTTCTGACAAGACTATTAACAGAACAATCCAATCCCATCCCAATTCCTTACATTCCACCATATCCTTTCCCCTTATATATGGAATATATAAATAATCCCAATTAGAAAATGAGAAACAATAGAGTATCCAAACCTGATCCTACCAATTCTTCAACAATCTGCAGCAAGTTCAAGAAACTGGTACGGTTTTTACAAGGGAAAGGAAGGTTTTATTAATGGGAAATAAAATTAAATCGAATCGAATTGAATCAAATCAAATCCAATTGAATCAATTCCTTACCAAAATTAACAAGGGGGGTCAATTTGAATTGAGCTGGATTGAATTATACAGGATTCGTCTTTCTAACCTGTTGCAATACGATTCTAATAAAGAACAATTTCGAACTAACCCTTGCTTTATAGCTACTTTACAGTAGCGGTGTCTTCGAAACGAAATTTCCCCTTACCAAAAAATCCTCTACCGAAATTAGATAGTAGGGAGGGTTTGGTATATTTCTGCCTGCGTTATAGGGAAATGATGCAAGAGGTTTTGGTTTAGTTATAACAAACCTACTGATATTAATACATCACAATGTGTTCTGTTACCACTCAATTGGCAATTGCTTAATTTAGTTATTGTTCTTATTGATTGTTAAGTGAAAAGTTTATGGGTTTGGTGGCCCTAACTTTATCTGATTTTGAAGCAGGGCTTAAAAGATTAGTAGTTTGGGATGCTTGCCCCATAACGTTATGCTATGATTTTATTGTGTTGATAATATTTACTGTGTGTTTTAGTTTTAATCTAGTAATTGATGTGATCGTTATTACGTTGACTTCGTATGTATTGTTTAAACTTTTAACTAGAGTTGAAGTTAGTTCGATGTTAAGTAATTGCAGAAAGTTAGAGACTACAAGGTTTGTTTATGTATAATCATGAATAATAGATGAAGTATCTGTGTTCAGTGGTGTATGATTCCTACAAAATTTATCAATTGGCAAATGCTAACCTGGCAATAGGTTGATGAATAGGGTAAAATAACATACTTGAGCTTTCTAATTGTAAAAAGTAAACGATTTCGATAATGGAAGATATAACAATATTTTACATTGACGGTGCTTAAAATTATCCTCTCTCCTCCAACTCACTTAAACTTACTTACTAGTAGCTTTATTCTTCTAGACTCATAGCTGAGAGAGTCCGTATCAGATTACAAGATATTTTATCACCCAAATAATGTAAAATTCCATACTACAAACTGAAATAATCTAACTCTTGGGTCAATTAGACCATTGCCTACTCTTGTACATATAGATAGATAGATAGATAGATAGATAGATAGATAGATAGATACATACATACATACTGTAGAGAATCAGAGGGTTGTGGATTCTTTACAGAATCGTTAATAATAGTAGATTGTTTAGTTGTTTGCAAGGACATTCTTAATAAGTTGATATTGATCCGGTGTATTAAAGTATATAATATACACATGGGAATATAATTAACATGACAAGTGTCGATTAAGATCTTGTCATTTCTTATATAAGTGTTCGAAAAGTTTTAACGTCAGAAATAACACTTTCGTGTAAAGTAACATTTCTTTATCCTATATGAATAATGTCGTAATACGTATATATCACGTGTTACCTCATAATTCTGACACATACATACATATTTATTGTGTTATCAACGACTATATGTTTTAAGTGGCCTGTATCTGGGTCTTGTGACTTTTTATCTTGACTTGCTGACTTGTCTCTAGTTGTCCCTGCTATTCATCTTCTCTGTGACTAACCAACTAATCTATATATTCTTCAATACGTATCTTAAATACAAAGATGTGCCTGATGAATTATCGTTAGAACTCATGTATTATTTGGCCTTTATTATTATTTAGTTGTATATTGAATTTAGTATACGTTAGAATGAAGGCTGGTAGGCGTTTATTCTATAGGATCTTAAGGGTGGAGATCTGTAGGTTAAAGTAAATATACTTGTTAATAATAATAAATTTCTATATATCTTTTTATGTACAAAGTAAGATACTAAATAATATACAATAATATACAATAATATACAATAATATACAATGATCTCTTTAAATATCAATGTTAATAGCATGTAACAACATTCTTGTAGTGACACATATTTCTTCACCTTCAAGGTTCGTATGAAGTAACCTCGAAATAGTCTCGAAATAATACACTCAGCGGTATCCACGTGGTAAATTTAAGCACGTGATTAATATTTTCTAAGCATGTTCACGGTATTACATGGCGAAAAATTACAAGTTAAAAAGCTTCTATGGCCAAGTTGGTAAGGCGCCACACTAGTAATGTGGAGATCATCAGTTCGACTCTGGTTGGAAGCATATATTTTTATGTACCGAATTCAATATTAATTTCGATATTGAAACTCTAAAATTTTTTCAACACTCTTTTACAAGACATCAAAAATATACTTCACAAACATACTATATATATACATTATTTTTTTTTCACTCGAACATCTCATTCCCACCACAACAAGACAAGCCAATAAGATCATTACTATCTTTCGATCACACTTGCAATCAAACACTGCAGCGTTTTAACCCATGTCCATACAAAACGAAAAAAAATGCACTTCTCTTACGAGACCACAGGCCGCATAATAAATATTCCTGAAAGAAACTTGTCCACCACTCCTCCTCATACAAAACTCTCAAACCCAAAATTCAAGCTCAAGATTCAGGTTCTGACTGAGATTCAGATTTGGATTCAAAGCTGAGATTTAATCCTCATCCAAACCCATTCCACCTCTCTCAATACCTCAGCTCCAAGTCCTTCCACCCTCCTACAATAATCAATCCGGCAAAAACGGAACGCTTACCAACAACAAATACTCATACTAAATAACGTACGTTCTCGAGGCAATTTCAATTCGAAGATTGAAGAGATATTGAAAGATTTCGAAACGCGAGGAGCGTTCTCTATTTAGTGGGAATCTTTACTTAAACATTCTCTTCTCTTCTGAATGAGATCCATCGAGAGGTCGTTCTTGGACTGTTATTTACTGTTTACTATTTGGTATTTAAAAGCAAAAAAAGAAAATAGTTAGTTAAAACTGTTTTCGACTGAGTTTCCTTAGTAGCTGTTAGTTGGATATCGTTACTTTTCCTTCTTGTCTTCCTGTAAATAGTTAAAGTTCTGCTATTGAGATCAAATTATTTTGATTTCGAATTCGAATTCGAGATGGAAATATAGGTAACGGTGAGGCCCACATAAACTGTTTGTTGATACCCTGTTGTTCATCGATCTTTAAAATTTTTTTTTTTTAGTTTTACTTATCCTTATATATACTTCTGATCCTGTGATGTCGTCATCAGAATTTAATTTTTCCTGATACTTATATAATACTTATATTACAATTCTTGATTGCTAGAAGAGTAGGCTATTTGAGGATATTTTGCTTATATATAGGATACATATATAGATTTATATTTTACCTCTTTAACCGTATCTATATCGCTAAAGATGCTATTTAAAAGTTTGGTAACTAGTGCTTTGGCTTTAACAGCCTTCCAAGCTGCTTCTGTCTCTGGTGCCACTGCTAACGTTACTGCTCCTATCAATGTCACTGGTAATGCTTTCTTCAATTCAGAAACTGGTGAACGTTTCTATATTCGTGGTGTTGATTACCAACCAGGTGGTTCCTCCAATTTAACTGATCCTCTAGGTGATACTTCCATTTGTGGTAGAGATATCCCAGTATTCAAAAACTTGGGTATTAACACTGTCAGAGTTTACACCGTCGATAACTCTCTGGATCATTCAGAATGTATGAAAATGTTACAAGATGCTGGTATCTATTTGATCTTGGATGTTAACACCCCAGGTAGTTCCATTTCAAGAATTAATCCTTCTTGTTCATACAATGCCGCTTACTTACAAAACGTGTTTGCTACTATCGATGCATTTGCTGAATACGATAATGTCTTAGGTTTCTTTGCTGGTAATGAAGTCATCAATACTTCTAATACCACCAACACTGCTACTTATGTTAAAGCTGTTGTTAGAGATATGAAAAAATATATCAAGGCTAGAAAATACAGATCTATTCCTGTTGGTTATTCTGCCGCAGATATTGCCTCCAATAGACAATTGGCTGCTCAATACTTCAACTGTGGTGATGACGCTGATGCCAGAATTGATATGTTTGGTGTTAATGATTACTCTTGGTGTGGTCAATCTTCCTTCCAAACCTCTGGTTACGCTGAAAAGGTTCAAATCTACAGTGGTTATTCTGTCCCAATTTTCTTAAGTGAATTTGGTTGTAATGAAATTAAATCAGGTACTTCAAGACCATTTACTGAAATTCAGGCCATTTACTCATCAAGAATGAGTTCTGTTTTCTCTGGTGGTTTGGTTTATGAATATTCTAATGAAACCAATAACTATGGTTTAGTCGAAATCACTGGTTCTGATTCTGTCAAATTGTTGCAAGATTATGACAACTTAAAGAGTCAATACAGCAGTGTTTCCAACCCAGCTAATGATGGTGGATATTCTACTACCAACAATTATTCAACTTGTCCAGATTTCCAAAAGAATGTGTGGGAAGCCAATAACACTCTACCAGAAATGCCAAGTGCCGCATCTGCTTACTTCACTTCAGGTGCTGGTACACCTTTAGGTACTATTTTATCTACCCAAAACGATTGTCATAATGATGCTGAAGATCTTGATGCTTCCTCCTCTGAATCAGCTAGTTCTTCAACTTCTGAATCTAGTAGTTCATCATCCTCCTCCTCCTCATCATCCTCCTCCTCCTCTTCATCATCTTCAACTTCCTCCTCATCCCAATCTAGCTCTGCATCAAGTTCCAGTTCTTCTTCCTCTCGTTCCTCTAGCAGTTCAAAGGGTTACGCTAACACAATCCAAGTTCCATTCTTCATCCAAATGCTAGCACAAGTCTGGACTTTATTGTTATAAGATACCTGTATTAAGTACTTTATATAATCGTATTTCTATTTATACCTTCTCATGTTTAAATAACATTTAAAAAAATTAATAATTGTTGACTCGAAGTTAAGGTTTTGAAATCGAAGAGAGATATGTACTTCAATATTATTGTCTGATCAAGTTTATCCACATACAAATACAACAAGTCGAAGTCGTAACTAAATGCAATTCTTGATTTAATTATCTCCTATACATGCTCATAGTTGGTAACAATCCATTCGCTGTCAGGCTGAGTAGCCATATTATTTGAAGTTATACAAGATTTTTCGATATCATCACAATGGGAACAATTGGACGAGTTTTTAGAACAACCAGTGTCCTCACCATCAATAATTTCACTCCTATTACTATTATTTATGGACACCTGTTTACATACACAATGTGTATCATCAGAGCAAAATCCACATTCATTAATACCTACTACTTTGGTATTTGATCTTTCAACAACTCCAATTGAATCTATTGAACGATGGGTCTCTTCCAAGGAACTGTCTGTCTTTTTCTTCAATGAGACTGATTTGATAGGTGTAAAGTTATTAATCATATCCTTTAATTTTTTATTCGATATAGCTCCAGGTTGTTTCACAACTTTTGTTGTTCTAATTCTTTTCATATTACTGGTTTTCTCATTATTAACCACCAAGCTTGTTTTTAAGGATATGTTTTCCTTTTTCAATTCATCTGCTTGTTCTTTGGCTATTTTAAGGTCTAACTCGATCTGATTATACCTTTTTTCCCACGACTTCACTAACATTTGCAATGTATCTATTGTATCTTCTAAATCTTGTATTTTCTTCTCTTTTCTTTCCCTGAAAGCTCTTTGAGCATCTCTATTGAGTTGTCTTTTCTTTGAAACTACGTCTGTGGATACGACATCACTATTAATTGGGTTTTCAATTGCCTTTTTATGTGACATTTGTTTGAACCTAGCCTTTCCTAATGATTTCGGAGGCAATAACCACTTTTTAGAAACATGTACACTAGACATAGCTAACTGAGACTTAGCATCACCTCTAGGTTCTAAATTGACTAATTTTGAGTTCGTAGATTGGTTCATTATTATTCCTTTGAAATATATTCTTTTTAATGGAACTGGATCGAGGATTACCGTAGCTGCCCAACCTTGAAAATAAAAGATAGCACCTAAACAAGTCAGAAACAATAACTTATACCAACATCACAGTACTATACCATTCTAAGGACTGTATTATGAGCACAATTCTCTACTTCTCACTTATATATTTTATTTAATAGAGCAGTTCTTTCTCATCTCATCACCTGTGCTTTTTTTAGAATGATTCAATATCATTGAAATTTCAACTCATTAAAAAATCATAATCAAGATTCTCACAACTGTTCACTACTCAACAGTAAAAGAAAGCAAATGGTATACATTAATATGACGATCAGGCTCTCAATACATTCATTGTATATTACATTTAAGAGAATATCTTTAATATATCATTCTTTCATTAATGAACTACTATATATGACAGGATAAGGTTAAAGGTATATAATTATTTTATTGTCTTGTTTTAAAATTCTAAGCATAATAATGATGATAGATTTTCAAAGCGTTTGAGAGATAGATAAATAAAGGCAAAAGTTTAAAGAATATTTATAAAACCAAAATTTATAATGATTAATTTAGATGGATAAATGACCTAAATGGAGGAAAAAAATAAAAAATAAATAAAGAAGTGATTATTTGGACTTAATTTCTTCTGGAGTCATTTTATCACTTTTCGGAAGAGCAGTAGCCTCTTCTTCATCCAAATTGATATCATCTGTCACAACTTGGTCTCTAGTTTTTCTTGCCTTAGCTTCCATTTCTTCCTTCTTGATCATTTCTTCTTGTTCTTTCAAGACACTTAGTTTGAATTCGCTGTCGTCAGGTTTTGAAGTGGTTTCAATTTCAACAGGCTTTTCATCGGTTTGTTCAGTTTCAACCTTTGGTTGTTCCTTTTCAATAGTCTCCTTGATAGTTGTTGGTTCGGTAGTCTTAGGAGATTCAGCAGGTGTTTCAACTGGACTTTCTACCTTTGTAGTGGATTCGGTAGCAGCCTCAGTTGGGGTTGCTTTTATTTCCTCAGCTTGTTTCAAATCGTCTTCAGTTGGTTTAGATTCGGTCACATCTAACTTAGCGACATTATATACAGGATCAGGGATGGAACTTAGAACTTGGAAAATACCTTCATAGTACAAATCTAAGATTTCATTATATCTGGTCTTTGGAGATGAAGGATCAACTGCAGAAATGACCTTATTGGCAATATCACTAGTGGTACCACCAAAAGTATATGTTGAACATAGAACCATCAATACGGAAGGAACTTTTTGTCTTAGTCTTAATTCTAACCAAACTTTCAAGAAGTTTTGTAAATCTTCTTGAGAAGTTCCGAAAGCTTTGATACCACGAGAGACACAGGCTTGGTGCAATTCTTCAGGAGATAAACTTTGGACACCTTCATAATCTATAGTGATATCATCTTGCATAATTGATTTTAATTTATGACGAATTTGATAACGAATTAAATTATCGTTACCGAATGGTCTTAGAGACATGAATTTACAGATTGCAACTAATTGAGGTCTTGATAAATTATCTAAAATAGTATCATTTTTAAACATGTTTGCAATTTTCAAAATTTCTTGATGTGAAAAGATATCAGACTTATCTTTGTTAGCCTCATCGTATAGTTTTCTGAAGAAATTTAAGAAGGCTTGCTTTTTTTCAGTATTTTCAATAGAATTATAGTTTAATAAATTTGATTCTTCTAAAGTTTCATGTAAAAAATTTGAAGTTTTTCTTCTTGTATCTAACAATTTATCTCTTTTCAATTGTTTATCCTTACCTGATTCGTAAGTTGAAGGCAATAGGTTTGGGAATATTTTCAAAGCTATAGGTAATAGTAATTCTGCAAATGGAATAATGATGAAAGCAGAAAATGGGATTAATCTGAACACATCACTGATAGTTCTTTTCAATTGGTTTGTTTCACGTCTGGTTAGTTCATAACCTTGACCGAATTTAATCAACAATTTTGTTGAAATTTTAATTTCATAACCCAAAAGTTTTGTACCATTGACATAATGTTTGACTTCGTGTTTAATCCTTTCCATCAAAGGTTCCTTTACTTTTTCAGGTTCACCATTTTTAGCAGCAGAATAATATCTCAGACTGACAATTGAAGGTAATCCAACTTGCTTAGAACCACGGAATGTTCCAATTAGGGTTCTGGAAAGCAATGCGTGCTGTTGTTGCGGCTGCTGGCCCTTGGCGATCAAAGACAAAGATCTATTAAACATTATGAGTGTCTCTCTATATGACTTCTACAATTGGCTATTGTAGGGTTTCTATTTTTTATTTTTTGTTTGACAAACTTTTTCCTTTCTGTATTACTTGCTCTCAGCTACACAATCATATACACCGTGGATCAGATTGATAGTGCATTCACGAGTGACAAGCAATGGGGGGTATACGGTAAGAATCAAGTGAATTGGAGTAAAAAAATTGGTGAATCAACCTTTCTTTATATTGATTTTATGTATATATATATATTTTTCAATATGGCTCTTGCTTGAAATGAGAAATGAGTTTTAAAATTTCAAAAAAGGCGTGAATTTCATTTTTTTCATTTTCTTTCTTTCTTTGGCTTTTATTCGTACAACACGATTTGTATAGAACCTCAATGTGTTGGAAAAATGGCCCAGCGGGGATAAATGCCGCAGGAAAGCTATCAAACCAGTTGGCGCTAGCAGAGGGGAGTTTGTTAAGGGAAAAGAACCAAAAAAAACACATAGTGAATGAGTTTTCTTGGGCCGTTTGCGGTGGTGGTGAGGGAGTTCCCCGAAATCGCATATCGGGTTGCTTCTGTGCGAGAGAGAGATGGTTGTGTCACGTGCATATAACGTGATTTTATCTTTCCTTTCCTCCCCACACAGGATGGAGAGTCTCATCACGTGGATGCAAATAGAGAACAGAGCAATGCAAAACTTAATTCATTTACCATAACAGGGTTGAGGATGCACAGCTCATCGTTGCCTATGTATATATATTTATATATATGCGTGTATTATCGTAGTTTGGATAGGTATATAATTGATTTGATATACAGGTTATATACATGATTATATGAAAGATGATTTTCTTGATTCTGGGAAGATGTTGTAGCCCTTGTTGTTGGATCTGCTGAACCAGTTATTGCGCCAGCTGATTTCATGAGCCACTAGTTCGCCAAAACCCAACATCAGGCCGTTGATGAAGGGTAGGATGAGGTTGATGGACGACGATCTGATGAATCTGAGCAGAGCGGTGTATTGGTTAGATTGGACTTGTTTATCTTGGCTCATGGTCGGGGGTGGGGGTGGGTAATTGTAGTTGTAATTGGAATGGAGACACTGGTGTATGAGTCCAAGCTGTTTGTTTGGTTTGGTTTGATATAGTGTATATGTCTTGAAACGAACTGTTTCTTATAGTATAATAAGTAATATATGTGAGTGTGTCGGGCCAAGGCAAGCGAGACAAGAAAATGGAAGTTCGAAAGGAAGGGAAGGGAAGCCAAGCGAAGGTACCCGGCCACTTTGGACAAGTCCGTATGCATGGACACGGATGAGTCAGGGTAACAATAGGGTGGGTGGTGTCTTGGTCTTGTGTGGAAGATTGCATATAAATTTGTTGTTGCTGTTGCTTGGTCAGATCGCACATCCATCCATAGATCGATCGATTGCTTACCCTGAACAGGAAACATTTGAAAAGAAACCATGCACCCGTCCATCAGTGGAGGGAGGGGAGGGGGGTGGGCTTGTCGATCCCACAGATGGAGATAGGACGTGCACCGACCGTCTCTGTGTGTGTTCCTTTGTGGACTTGTTCTTGTTCCTGTTCTTGTTCTTGTTCTTGGTTTTCACTTTCACTTTCACTTTCGTTTCCTCTGCAGCCGTGTCTTCCGTGCCACACGACAGCCCCTCTCCGTCCTTCCGGCCACTATCAGATCATCTCTGCAACCCGACCACAAAGAGGACCAACGGGCAACGGACCGTACGAACAAAACGATCTGCCGTGAACAACGACAGCATCGTCCAACCAGAAACAGAAACAGAAACAGAGAGAGAGAAAAAGAAAGGTAAAAAAGAAAGAACAACAAGAAATCAGCATTTCTCTTCGCTTCTCTTCGTTTCCTACAACCACAACCACAACCACAAAAACAATACACAAACCACAAACACCGCATCTGCATCTGCATCTGCATCTCACTCTCACTCTCACTCTGCCTCGGCTTCTTCCTCTCCTCCGACGGAAACAAAAATACTCACACACACAAAACTCAACTTTTGTGTGCAGACCCGATCCCAATAGCCAAAATTTTTTTCATTTTTCATTTTTCATCTCATCTCATCTTCCATCTTCAGTCTTCAATCTTCAATCCTCCATCTCATAGTCAACTTGTATCCAAAAAGTAGAATCTGATGCTTCTATACCGAAACTACACTTGCAAACTCATCTTCATCTTCAACCGCAACTGCAACCGCAACTCTCCCCCATCTTACTTTCATCTCCCATTCCCATTCGGTGATATTCCCCATTACCTTTACACAAGTGATGAGCTCCGCTGAGGAGATAACACTCTTATTCCATCTCATGGCCTCTCTCTCGCTATCTCGCTCTCTCTTCTCTTGATCACATTTTAATATCTATCATCTATATCTATATCAACTTTTAGTTTTAGATTTGATCTTGACCTCAATCTTGGTTTCGATCTTGTTCAGATCATAGAACAACCACTGCCCTGCTACACTCTCAAAACTAAATCAAACAAAGAATAAAATAAAATTTTATTTTATTTTTTTTGATATCATAATATTTACCTCCATTACCAAAACCTTTGTGTTTTATTTAAATGTTACTTTCCCAAAACTAGCATCACTGCCATACCACAACAGTCTTATACTTTCCCTTTCCCATTCCCAATCTCTCATAGTTACACTACTCTTTCTCTATCTATTTTTATTCTATTAGTACTTTTATCTTTTTTTTTTTTTTTTTTTAAATGAGAAATAGTAATGCCTCTATGGTCCTAAACATAATGGAACCTCCAAATACCCTCCTGCATGATATAAAAGAAGAGGAAGATATAGAAATCACACAGCTCAACACCGATGACCACAGCTCAACTTCAAAAGAATTAGTAATACATTCAAATAACTCTTCCCAATCTCTTCAGAGTTCCGCAAACGATGAAAATATAAGCATCTCACACTCAAATACAGATACAGACACAGATATATCAAACAACCTGAATATGAATCTAAACATGAATCTGAATCTAAATTTAGATTTAGATTTAGATATCAATGAAAACACAAACACTAATTCAAAGGATGAACTCTCTTTATTACCTCCTCTACCAAAGTCAATAGAACCAGTCCTAACGGCCACAAATCACGACATAGAACATACTTTGGAAAGAGAAAATATAGAAATTAACAACATCAACAACACAGATGATTTGAAAATAGAAATCCCAACCATAGATAACAATATCAACATCAACAGCTCAGTACAAACTGCAAAAAGCATTCTAATACCTTCTCCAATCAACGACAACAGCACAACAACTACAACAACTACATCCACATCTGCAACTACAAACAACAATATTAACACAAACAACATTAACGACAAAATTAACGATACCCCAAGCACTTCTAACCTAATGGATAACGACATCGCCGAAACTTCTTTCGATCTATCAAAAGCTTTGAAAATTCCTGTAACTGATTCAACAAATACAACAACCTCTTTTGAACAACAGATTTCAAATGGCCCATTATCACCTATAATGTCAAGTCCAAAAATTTCATTGAAAAAAAAATTATCAAACGTAATTTTAAATAACGATATCCCATTCACTACAAACAACAACTCTTTACAATTAGATTCCTCACAATTTCATATCACCAAAAATTCATCCTCTGTAAGAACTTTGTCAAACAGTATCAATGGAAAAGTTAGTCGTTCCAATTCTCATTCAAATTCAATCATTAACCAAAAATTAGATGGTGGATCCTCATCTTCTGCCTCTTCTTTCAACAACAACAACAACAGTAGTGGTAGTAACGGAAATATGAATAGCAACATCAAATTATCACAAGATTTCGTCCATGAATCTCACAGCTTTATTAAAGAAAGAATACCTTTACGCAAAGTAAGTACAGGAAGCACAAGCTCAAATTCAAATTCAACTTCAACCTCAAGAAATGATGAACAAATTTTTAAAGTCCCTCCAAGTCTTCTACGACAAAGCACAGAATCAAGATCAAGATCAAGCTCAAACGGTAATATAAACCTATCTCTAAGAACAACTCCATTGGCTTTAGACGGTATAGGTATACAATTAGGCTCAACTCCAATAATTCCAAATTCAATAACCGCAGGTATTAATACACCAACTGTACTATCTAATAATAATGAATTGCCATTATCGAATAAAAAATTACCACTCTTGAGAAGAGCCTCAAGTGCAATCTTACGGAAAACTTCAATGAAAAATATTGCAGGCACTGATTTGCAAAATAATGCTGATTCAATGGATTTTAACCCTCTAAGAGTTTCAACTACTATTGACATCGATAACCGCTTAACTACTTATAATTCAAATGTCACTCATAGTGTAACACAGATAAATTCAAATACTCAAGAAAATAACCAGAATTCACTTTCAAGACAACCTTCTATTGGTTCTAGGGTTAAAAAAGGATTTTCAAGAATAATTAGTGGAAACAATACAAATAAAAGAGTAGCTTCAAATTCTAATGATGTTTCAAGAGTGAATTCGAATTCGAATTCGAATTCAATCGCTTCGGATCTTTCAAATGATAGAATCGAATCACCAATTCCAACAAGAATCAAAAGTTCCGATGCTTATCTAGAAGATAGGATATTAAACTCTGGTAAGGGAATAACTCCTCTCCTTTCAAGAAGAGTATCATCTGCCGGCAATAAGGGATATTCTGCTAATAACTCAAATGAATCTTCTAATAGAAAGTTTGTTACTTCCAATAATGTCACCTCCGGCACTGTAAGAAGAAGAAGTTCTCAACTTGCTCGTTCTGCAAGTGCAAAAAATAATGATGTTACTAGATCATCAAGCCGTCAATCTAATACATTGGAAAAAAATCTACCTAACTTTACAAAATTCGATGAAATTTCCGTAAATTTAGAAAAACTTACTAAAACTGTGCCAGTGATATCAGTAACTGATGATTACAATTCACAAGATCTAGAGGACATTAAAATCCAATCAAATATTAATTTGGATGAAGTTTACGAAGATCCTGAGAAAAAGCATCCATCCGATGTTTCTTCACCGGTCAAAAACGTTTCATTAAAGGAATATATAAATATTTTAATTGAGCAGCAAAAGAGTGAAGACAAAAGATTAGCCAGTTTAGAAAAAAATTTCACTGATTCTGGCTGGTGTTCAGCATCAGATTTAAGATTATTAAGACAAAAGAGAATCATTACAAACAGAAGATGGGATGAAAGAATTGCGTTTTATAAAAGTAAACTAGATACCTAAAGAGAACATATTTCATGTTCTTACCGTATAGAAAAAAACAAACGAAAAAAAATTGGAAAGAACTAGCTTCAATTTGTGAAAGGTTAATAAACTTTATCAGTTCGTTTTTCATATATTTTATCCTTTGATATTGTCATTTTTTCATGTTATTACTTTAAAGTACAAATTAACCTGATAAAACATTTGCATATAGAATACTTATTAGTATATAAATTTTTTAAGTATTTTTAATCATACTAAATCATTAATGAAGAAATTATACAATTCGAAAGCAAGGTTACGAGCAATAACCGATATCAGTGGATACCTCAATTGCAAAGTTATATCACATTCCTATTGATTCAAATTACTATCTATGATGTAATATCGAATGAGTTAGACTGGCTACCCCAGAATATCTACCTAATCAATAACGAGGAAAGTCACTAATCATTATACAGTCCAATTTAAAGATGGAACAACATATTCAAGTATATTTATTATATAATTTAGCCACTCTCTTTTGGATAACATAATTAATTCTTCAGGTTTGTCATGGGATGGTTCATCGGCAGTCGGCTGAATAGGGCTCATTCTCCGGATTAGTGTCTTGTTAATTTTGCTCAATTCATATGATAAAGCCTTATATATAGTTCATGTGAACCATAAGAAGAAGGGTACAGAGTTAGGTTTTCGTAGGGCTTAACATTAACGTTCCGGACGACAGCATATATTTAACTTTAAATTTATATAAGTCTTGGCTAGTTTAACTATATACTGGACCTGTTTAAAGTCATACAAACTTCACCCAACGTTCATTTATTGAGATCAATCCTGAACAGGTTGGAAGTCATTGCAACTTATTTGATCTTGATGTACCAACCAGGTTAAAGCAGGAAATACATATATATATATACCTACAAATTTCCACATCGCACATTATTATAATCAGGGCTTCCGAGATCACCTGGACATCATGTGACCCAGCGGGAATTTGCTTCCAAAATTCTCTGCTATGTCTAACTCTAACTAACAGCGCAACTACAATCAACGAACCGTATTACTTAACATTGAAATTGGTTGCAAACTAGTGAGAACAGAAACTTATATAAAGAAGCCAATTCAATTAAGGTTTGGATATAATAAAATGTATGCAGATGTAGAGTCTAGATTAGATGTATAGATAATAGAAAGAAGTAAGCTTGTTTGTATAATAAAGAGAGAGAGAGAGAAAGAAAAAAAATGAGAATAACTGACACATTCATTTTTTCAACTTGTTTGTCATTAGCCCTGGCTACAGGCAATTATTCTGTGACTATGGAACAATGTCTGAACACTCAACATGACGATTATGTCTCCCCAGCCATTATCTGGTATTACTATGCCCAGTACGGGCCTACCCTTAAGCAAGCGACATATTATCCGTTATGGCAGTTGTATGACATTGGTGAAGTAGATAAATCTTTAAAGCAGTGGTACGACATGTACCCATACGAAGAAGGTGAAGACTTTAGCATCCAACTTGATTACGACATATCGGCAGCCCTAGATGACCACGTTGAGAGGCTCGAATGTGCCTTGTTACTACTGGAAGCCAAAGGTGCTGAAAAGTCAGATCTGTATGCTAGACTAGCAAACAAATACAACGACTGGCTTAATAATGGGATAGAAAAGAGAGAAAGCTATTCTACACAATGCTCACCGGAATTATTTGGCAAATTAAGAGGGTTTTGTGGATGCTTCGAGGGAATCCATGAATCCATACCTTTCTGGTAACATCGACCAAGCATTGAACGACTGCCAAATAGTCACTAACGGGAGGCCACAAGGTAGGATTGATACTATATGACTGTATCCGGTACATATTAACCTGTGTAGATAAACAAAATTAACAGGTTTATAAAAGGTTCTTCTTACAGGTAGAAGGTGCTGTTGGAACTGTTGACAGTCTCGAGGTTGTCACTCATTTGTAGATCCATAATAATAAACTATATTATTCGGAAGTTAATCCTTGATATTTATTATATACAACTGTAGATAGATTAAATAGAGGGCAGGAATAGTTTCATTAAGATAGAAAACTATCCCTTCATATAACTTAAGGACTTCATCTAATTACTCTAGTTAGATGCTGGTTATGCCGGTTAAGCCTCTAACGCTTACCATATTCCAACAGCCCCCGGAAGCTTTAGAAGCAAAGCTTTCCACTAATCAGGATTCCTCATTTGACTCAGTGTTTCAGTTTAACAAGTAGTTCATCCCGAAGAGATTCAAATGTATCCCTTCGATGTACCTTTATTTGGTGAAGACGGAGGATGTGAATGTGAGAAATCAGTCAAAAAAACAGATGATAGAGTACCCCCAGTAAATGTAGATGCAGAACTAGAGGAGGACGGAGAACCATTCAATGTACCGGTAGCAATCTTGTGAGCATCTACATTTACATCGAGACCCTCAAGTGGAAAACTAGATTCATCAAAAGTAACCTGATTACTAACAAACACGTTACCAGATTCAGGATGGAATATTCTATAGCCCTTCTGTTCTGAGTCATAGCCAACCATTACACCATTAATGGTAGCTGGAGAAAATTTACCGTCACCTAGTTGGTGTGGAATAGTTGCAAAAGCCGCACATCCAAAAGTACGCAAATGGCTAAAACCATCTAGTGGTAATTTCATTTGATACCACTCAGCAACAGGAATCTTATTCTGTCTAGATGTGACAGGGATTCGATTAATGAGGTAAACTGCGCATGACACAGCTTCACTCCATAGAGATGGGGGAACACGACCTGAGATAAGCAGACATCTTGTCGTTTCCTCGATAGTACGATGACCACGCTCTATGCCACCATTTTGAAAACTATCGTACGGAATAGTAAGCTCATGAGTGATACCTTGCTCAATGAAAAAGTCATGCAATAGTTTATTTCTAAATTCACCACCATTATTAGTACATAAAGAACCAACTCTATAACCACCTCTAGAAGCAAAATACTTTTCAGTTTTCTTAATCCAATTAATTAATTGAACTGGAGCATCCTTCTTATCTTTCAAGTGAATCACGACATAATATCTAGTAAAGGCATCGCGAATAGTCATGAAGTATTTGTTATCCTTAAATTCCTTATAGCGAAAACCACCACATAAACCAACCTGAACCAATTGTAAAGGACAGGTGAGTTTAGTATCAGATGGCTTACCCTTACGCATCACACCCTTAGCAAGAGCACAAGTAGGACACACAGAAACTTGTTCGGGAACAATCCTTGGAAGTGAGAATTGTCTAGCAACTGTATTGTACCTGTCCAAACCTGGATGACCAAAACGGGCATGCCAGCGAATAGCAGTTGAAACAGGCTTCACATCAGAAGTAAGTAAGGGATCACTAATGGCAACAAATGACATTTGCGTTTCTTCAATCTTGGATAAGGATTGATCGAGAACATACAGTTTCTTGTACAGACTTCCAATCTTGGTCAATTTGTTGTTAGCAGATAATACATAAGCACCAGTTTCATCAAAGGAAAAAGAGCAACCTGACTTCTTAGAAGCTTGACGAATGGAGATTAAGTTAATCGGTAAGTCAGGAACATATGCAACATCACAAAGAGTTAATTCGCCAACCATAACATCACCGTAACCTCTGATTTTAACAGCAACTCCTACACCGCTAATAGTACCGTTATTTGTGGATGGTCTAAAGTTAGAGAACGATTCTCTATTACATGAAATGTGAGTGCTAGATCCTGTGTCTAGAACCCAAATAGATTTATCTTCGGAAGTTAAAGAGGGAGAAGATAAAGTGCTTGAATTATAACACAAACCTTGAAATTCAGTAGCCATCCAAACGCTTGCAACTTGGGCGTTTGAGATAGAGTCTGTAACATTATAATGACCGGTCTTGCATAGATGTTTTTGCTTATTACCATACCACTTCTTCTTGGCAACAAGAGGAGTAGCAGTTACATCAGACGCAGAAGACCTGCTATTTTTAATCATACTATATACCTCCTTGAAAGTAACAGTATCCTGCTGACCAAATAAATCAAAGAACCTTTCTTTCATGTCTGGAGTGATACCCATCAACACCATGGCAGCAGCAGAATCTTGCAGCTTTCTAACGTATTCAGTAACAGTATTTTTCATTGTAGGATCTGGAATTTCGTCATCCAACTGGTCTAGATCGAACATAGATTTGACGAGTTTTCTGGTCCAAATAGTTTTCTCTTCCAAGGACTTCGAGTGAATAGAATTCATTTCAAAATAAACTGGTGCAATATGTTGAACACATTTCTTACCGTAGAGGTCTTCCAAATAGCTCAGAAGTTCTAATGAATTGCGAGTTCTAAATTTATTTTGATAATACTCATCGACCTTTATTTTAACTTCAGGGCTGATACTCTTAACAATTAATCTTCTCAAGGCTTTATCCAAAGTTGAAATGATACTATTAACCGTATCTGTGGTCAAATTAAATTCTTGGGTAATCGAATGAATATTTCCAGTTTCAACATAGTCTCCCCAGATTGGGTTGATTTCACTAACATGATCTGTCAAATCCTGTAACCAACTGTTGAAGTTATTAACCCCTAATAGCTTAATGGGTATGACAGTATCATTCACTGCTTCAGGGCTCATAACCTGTTGACGCAGATTCCAAACTGAGAAAGTGCTGTTAGCAGTTTCAAAGCTATTATTGTTTATGTGTTGATCCATTGTTAGACTATATCTTTGGGAAGCTAATCCTTGATTATATTATATAGTATTATACAAAGATTAGATAAAGATCAGGAATAGTTTCATTAAGATAGAAAACTATCCCTTTATATAACTTAAGGACTTCATCTATGTAGAGAATTATGTTGTGTTTTTTCTACCGAATCGTTCATAGTAATAGATTCTTTATTTATTTCCAAGGACATTCTTAATAAGTTGATATTGATCCGGTGTATTAAAGTATATAATATACACATGGGAATATAATTAACATGACAAGTGTCGATTAAGATCTTGTCATTTCTTATATAAAGTGTTGGAAAAGTTTTCAGCGTCAGTAATACTTTCGTGTAAAGTAACATTTCTTTATCCTATATGAATAATGTCGTAATACGTATATATCACGTGTTACCTCATAATTCTGACAATCTAGTTATTCTAATTAGATGCTGGCTATTATCCAATAAACCCACATTCACAACAATGACTACATTCTTGTATTATTTCAAGGTTACATCGTACGAACCTTGATAATGTCGGGATGTAATTCGTTACAATAAATGGTGTCATATTATCAATATTGCTATTTAAAGAGATCATTGTACATTATTGTATATTATTGTATATTATTTAGTATCTTACTTTGTACATAAAAGATATATAGAAATTTATTATTATTAACAAGTATATTTACTTTAACCTACAGATCTCCACCCTTAAGATCCTATAGAATAAACGCCTACCAGCCTTCATTCTAACGTATACCAAATTCAATATACAACTAAATAATAATAAAGGCCAAATAATACATTCTCGATTAGTCATGTGATTCTATTTATAAACTGCCATTTTGGTTGGAAAACCAATTTTTCTCCAATAACAGTTAAAAAGCTTCTATGGCCAAGTTGGTAAGGCGCCACACTAGTAATGTGGAGATCATCAGTTCGACTCTGGTTGGAAGCATATTTTTTGGCTTCTTTACTTTCGAAGATGCACCTTAATCTTTCCATTTTGCACACACTGACAATCAAGAGCTAACAATCATACTATATGTACTGTCATATTTTAGCATAGTATTTTTTTGCAAGGTGAGGTTCTAATATTAACCTCCCCAGAGATAGCATATCATCTATACAATATATTTACTACTTGAAAAATTCGTCAATTAACGATCATTTGGCACTCGTATCAGGTCAATACCCTCTCAAGGCACTGCAATAGAATTCAACACATGGCTCAACCATCGTCTGATCAAATGACGTCTAATTTAGTCCCCATCTTTCCAAAATGATAATTTTATTTGTAATGTTTCATTTCAAATATTTCTCTTCATAACCTTCGACAATTTTTTTCCATTTCAATAGAACAGGATGTTCACCATCCAAATCCAATTGCTCATTAAACATACTCTTGGTCAACACTTCATTCACACGCAACTCCTTTTGCGCAGACTCTAAATCCGACTTCAATTGTTCATCTTCAACATAGACTGCATTTAAGCTCATCATTGTGCCAATAAGTTCACCTACTGTATAACCTAAAACTGAACCAGTAGGGAAACCTTCATCGAACCCATTCTGTAAATTCATGTCTTTAGAATCAGTAACCCCATCCAAATACCCACGGTTATTATGTATCTCCCGCAACTTCTTTATATCATTAGTGAGCCCTTCCGATTCATTTTCACTCCCAGAACCCCAAACATCATCAAAATGATCTCCCATCTTCAATAAAACTTGATATATATGTACAAACTAGACCTCCAAAATCTAATCAAGACAGCTTCTTGGCCTCTTGACCACCAACTGACCTTGCTTAACACTTTTAACTTCAAATCAGGTGTTATTGAAATATTAATTTGATCGATGAGGTGACGATATTTTAAAGAAATATCGAAACTAAATCTATAAGAAATGAAAAATTTATAAAGAATACGCGTAAGGTAAAAGAAGGTTAAGCATTAAGTGGTTAAAGGACAATACTTAAAGTCATTGAGGCACTACATTGGTTTAGAATTAATTTTTATTTAGATATGGATGAATTAATTGGCAATAAAAAACGTAAGATTTCATCAGAAGTCGATTCAGAACAGACTCAACCATGGGTAGAGAAATATAGACCTAAAAAATTAGATGATGTTGCAGCTCAAGAACATGCAGTTACTGTTTTAAAGAGGACTTTAGGTTCTGCTAATTTACCTCATATGTTGTTTTATGGTCCACCAGGTACTGGTAAAACCTCCACAATTTTAGCATTAACTAAAGAATTATTTGGACCAAATCTAATTAAATCAAGAGTATTAGAATTAAATGCATCTGATGAACGTGGTATTTCAATTGTTAGAGAAAAAGTTAAGAATTTTGCAAGATTAACTGTTTCAAAACCATCTAAAGAAGATTTAGAGAAATATCCATGCCCACCATATAAGATTATTATATTAGATGAAGCAGATTCTATGACAGCAGATGCTCAAAGTGCTTTACGTAGAACCATGGAAACTTATTCTAATATTACAAGATTTTGTTTAATTTGTAATTATGTCACTAGAATTATCGATCCATTAGCTTCAAGATGCTCCAAGTTCAGATTTAAAGCCTTAGATGAAACAAATGCATTAGATAGACTAAAGTTTGTTGCTCAAGAAGAAAATGTTAACTATAAGGAGAATGTTTTAGAAAAAATCTTGGAAATCTCTTCTGGTGATCTAAGAAGAGCTATTACTTTATTACAATCTGCTTCAAAAACTTCGACTTATACAGAAAACTCAGAAATTACCGTCAATTTAGTAGAAGAACTTGCAGGTGTGGTTCCATCACCTGCTCTAAACGAAATAATAGAGGTGGTTTCCTCAAAAAATATTGATGCGGTAACTAAATACCTTGACAAATTTATCAGAAATGGTTGGTCAGGAACTTCAGTGGTAAACCAATTACACAACCATTATATTACCAGTGAAGACTATTCAGCAGATTTCAAAAATAAAGTATCTTGGATTTTATTCGAAACTGATTCAAAATTAAATAATGGTACTAATGAACATATCCAACTATTAAACTTATTGGTTAAGATATCAAATATAATTTAAAACAATATATATATATATATATATTAGATACTAATAACAATTTGTGATTATTTTATTTCGTTTATGATATTCTTGGCACGAACTAGTTAAATAAAATACGTATATACAAATGCATATATTTAAAATTAGTAATATCGTAACTACTATTGATGCAAACTTCATTATACGCCCAATATTGAAACAATTCTAAAATCATCTCTTAAAAATTTGGTATTGGAAAAGAATCTGCAAATGTTAAATCGATCATTTAAATCTCTTTGGTAATTGTCATCACATTTTTAATAATTCAAAAAATTCAATTTCTACCCATTTTGGTATATTCCACTTCATTTAAAATCCACCTGCCTGATCTCTATTTGGCATTGGTGGCATCATTGGATAAAAATTTTGGCCATTCATTTGCATCATACCTTTTGGAGATAGACGGTTGTTTGGATCAAAATTTTGTGGAAAACCTTGCATTGGTGGAAAACCTGGTGGAACCGCACCTTGAGGGAAACCTGGGGGCATCATCCTTCTTTGTTGGGTATTTTGAATCTTTAATTGATCTCTTGGTGGCATTCGTTGATTACTATTATTTGCAGGGTTTGGAGAACCATTGTTAATATTTCTTTTATGTTCAGGATTATTTTGCATAGGGAGACCTTGTCCTTGGAATGGTGGGAATCCTGGAGGTGGCATCATGTGAGGAGGAGGAGGCATTCCCATAGGGAATCCTTGGCCCATTCCTGGAGGAGGAGGTTGTTGTAAATGGCCAGGACCTCCGGCTGGAAGAGGCATACCTGGTGGCAGCATATTGCCCTCTTCGCCAGCCTTACCTTTGTTCAATAAACCTTGGAAAAATGCGTTATTATTTAATGGTGGTTGACCATGTACTTGAGGATGCAACATTTGTGGTTGTGCATCATTTGGGCCATTGCGTTGTTGGGAGAATTGGGGTGGTGTATTACTTGGTATTGGAATATTGGCATCTCTTGGAGTATTAACTGTTTCTTTATGCGTTTTCTTATCACCAGCTGACTGTTTGGATTCATTCTTAAAAAATGACATCATTCTTGATCCACCAGCAATATTTGTGCCTGATGTTGAAGTTGCAGGATCAGATTGTTGTTTTTGGGCGGGAGAAGATGCACTGTTTTTATCTGTTAACGGCGTAGAAGACGGAGATGCAACAAAGAATGAAGAAAATCTTGAAGTGCCTACTGTTGCAGCTTCTTGGGAATCAGATGAACCAGAACCGGAACCCGAGTCCTTATTTGAAGTAGGTTGAACCGGAATTTCATTAGTTGCATTTTCATTATTTTCAGATGAATCTGTTGATTCGAATTCTAAAAAGTCGAGGATCGAAGTAGAAGATTTTGCTCCTGATTTAGCATTAGAAGAAGCTTCAGCACTCTTTGGTGTATCTATTACTATACCTTTCTTCTTATTTTCCATCTCTTTCATTTTAGCCTTCCAAGCTTCAAAATCAGCCATGGAGTTACCAGTAGGTTGGAAATCACCTTCCAACTCCATCAAGTCGCTATTATTGACTTTTATATCATTTTCTTCCACATATTTATCGTTCTTTCCATATCTGTTAGATTTTTTACCAACATTTGGACCTCTAATCTTCGATTTACTATTTCTTCTACCATACTGACCACCTTCTCCTGAAGCTGGTCTGTTATTTGAGGAGATACCTGATGATCTGTTATTGTTAGATCTATGAGATGCGTTTTTATTGTTCCCATTACCATCTGCGAATCTTCCAGACAATCTCCAGAATTTCTTTTTTGGCAGCTGTATAGCATACCCTTCTATAAATTCCTTTGGAATCAACTCTTTTATTGATAACATTTCATTAATACTATAATTATAAGCTTTAGTTGTTTTATTTGGGTTCAATTTATAATCTTCATCAAAATGATGGATGTTTAACTTTGGATTTCTGTCGCTTGAGTCGTCTTGAGGTAACTCTTGCTCACTGATATTTTTCTTGGTTTGATTATTTTTATTGTCTAATCCTTCAAAAAATTTCATTATATTACTTCCGCTTGCCGCAGTAGCCTGTGACAACATCTCATTAGCATTACTCTGATCGGCAGAAAGAGAACCAACTACAGAGGATTCATTCAATTCCATATCTAATCTTCCTATCTGTTATTTTCCTTCAATAAACCCGATAGTGCTAGTACCTTGACTTGTTTTTATAAGAAAAGTCTAAAGTGAAATTTTTTTTTTCTTTCTACCAAAATCTAAAATAAAGACTCAGATAACTCTTCTATCACACCTTACCCAATCTTACAGATATAGATACAGATATATATGACTTTATATCAAATCCCGATGCTTAAGGGCTACTAAAACTAGCTTTAAATCACTAAAACTAGAAAATCAATTGTACCAAAATAGGGGTGTCGATTTTTCCCTCAAATCTCTAACAACAAAATTCAAAATTTCAGTAACACAGATACAATACAAATATAACCTAAAGAAACTGATACCTGGATCCTGCTTATCCTAACCTTATCCACTTCTTATTCAATAGTCTAATCCTAGGTTTATATACTTTTCTTAGCTTTCAAATTCAGATTCTTTTCTTCGACTCACAATATTTTTTTTATGTTGAGCAAAGAAAATATATTGACGTGTAACGTGATTAGTATACGGATTTGAGATATATAGACTTATATAAGGTATAGAAAGGTAACGACACTGATGCATTTCTATAATTATGATGACTGTGATATATACTTGTACACATTTAGGAGGTAGCTGATGTTGAGATGTGCCTGTTGCAGTTGAAACTGCTTTTTTTGCTGGGGTTTGAGTTGATGAAAATCGAGATAGAATTGGAAAACCATCCCAGCTTTGGGAACCCACCCACTGACACATGAAAGATTAGGAATTAAATGGTTAATAAATAAATAATGTAATGGTGATTTATTATTATTATTATTATTATAATGATTATTATGATTATTATTACTATTACTATTATGATTATGATTATTAAATATGATGATTATGCATGAAACTTTCTCTTTTTAAATGCTTTTTATTTTTAATGGAATATTTCCTTTTTTTTTTTTGATATTTTCAATGGATGAAGGATGGGAATGGAGATAGTGGAGACAATGTGAAATTATGATGTCAATCTATTGATCAAGGTGACGTAATACTTTTCAAATGCCTTTGTATCCTGGGTAATCAGCATTTGGATCAATTCCATACCTAGTTCTGAGGGAAGTTGGATCTGAGGGAAATAGACTTCAGTTAAATATTTCAACGCTGGGTTGCTATTAACATCTTGTCCTCCTCCGCTTTGAATATACATTTCCTTTAAGACTCTTGACAAATCGCATGCAATTACTCTACAACTACCATCGTTGATATTGAATTTGTATTGCGGTTTGAAAGGTATTTCAAACGCTAACGGAATTGTTCTCGTGATAAAATACTCATTAAGACCATCTAATTTACCAATACTACTTGCATGAACATCATTAACGTCTGTACAACCACCCGAACCAAAAAATTTAATAAAATTTACCAAAACGTTTAATGCTAATTTCATGGTTGATGTTTCTTGAATTTCTTGTGGATTGTAACTCAACAAGTCTCCTAAAATTGTAGGAAGAATGCTTCTATTTCTATTTGATAATAATAATGATGTTACATTATTTGTTACAAATGATTGCAAGAATCCATAATATGCCTTTTTTAATAGTATTTTATCTCTGTAAGAATCAGTCACAACAACTGTCTTGCTAGTACGGGCACCAGATACGTCATTGCCATTATTTTCTCTACCATTTTGTTCTCCATACCAATTTGATTCATTACTTTCGCTCTCCAAATGATCTAATAAAATATGCAGCTTGTTGATTACAGGTGTTAATAAATTATCAAATAGATCATAAAAATTCTCATCACCATGGAATGTGTGAACCATTTGCCCCAAGAACCCTAGGAAATCATTCATTTCCATTGTCTTCAAATCTGATTCTAAAAACAATACTACCAACTTACTAGCAAATGTTACTATGCCTCCATTTAATATTGGTATTAATCTAGCAAATGTGAATCTTGAAGCATCTCTTATGGTTTCATGCTTATTAAAATATGAAAATGTGACCAATACAACTTCAGCAATATTTGAAAATTTTTCTATCAAGGTTCTGTGAATTAACTTTTCATTAACTAATGCATTATTAACTTGATTTTCTGGAACTAAACCCATATGGGTACCTCTTGCCAATGTACCAATTGCCATCAGGATATGATGTGATTGTAAAACTATACTAGGACTTTGAGATTGTAATGAAATACAACGTTCTAAATCTGTGAATAAAGGAGTTAGAACTTGGTCCAAAATATCGTAGGTATTATCAGCATTGGCACCAATCAACATACCAACACCTTCAAAAATGTAAAGTTGACTATCAAATGTGGTATCGCAGTCTTCCGAGCCATCTACACTTGGTGTGACAGTTTTGATCACTAGCAATGGCATGACTTTACTTACAAGTTGTGACAAAACTGAAACTGACAAATGTGGCTTGGAAATCTTAACAAATCTTGTAAACAAATACCAGGTTCTCAATATAACTTTTTCGCTTTTATTGAACATACCAAACTCACTACAAAAAATATTCAATAGTGAAACGGCATCTTTAGTATCAGAACCCAAAAAAGTGTAATGTCTTACAACTAGTTCAAAAAATAAAATTTGTACATATCTGTTATCCATTTGGAAAAGATTTGAATTTTGTAATAACAAAGCCATGAATTTATGCATCAATTGAGTGGCAGCAGATGTAGATATTTCAGTTTTATTTAACCCAAATAAGTTATTACGAATACTTTCACATAAGTTATGCATTTGAAAAATTGCTAATTCCAGGACAGTCCAATCAGTACCAGCCAAAGATACCTGAATATGATTAGATATATTTTCTAAATAGATATTAGGGTTGATAACTGCAATACTATCTTGGAAAACTTTTAGTTTGGATCTTACAATATCGTTGAATTCTTCAATAGCTTCTTCACTGTTGCTTTCACTGGAATCATCTATTTTCATTTTTTCAAAACAAACATTTAATAAGGATACCAAAAAATTTTGATGAGCCTCATCCAGTGGCTGTCTTTTAGAATTTATAGCAACTGCAGTACCTGGTTTACCACCGATTGCAAATAATTTTTTCAATATAGCCAAGTATTGTGAAATAAATGGGAAACATTGTTCAGTAACTGAATCGTATTCATGGCTCATAAATTTCAAAACCAAAGGTGCTACTTGATTCAAGACCTGTTGGTCGGCAGCGTTTGCTACTTCCAGTGTTTCATTAGATTGAACTCCTTCATTACATTGTTCTAAAATAATAGACAATTCTAGACCAACAGAAGATGCTAGCTTAGCCAATTTTTCATAAACATCTATATCATCTTCACCAATTGAAGCAACTTTATCAGTTAAATTTAACATGCTTAAAAGGGTTAATTTATCTACTGGCTTCATTTTTTTTGAAATAATTTCACATAAACATTGAGAACATGCAATTTTAGTATCAGAATAGTCCAAATAACCATAAATAATGTTGATGTATTCTGGGTTGACAATCAATGTTATGTCAACCCAAGAAATGAATGCACCTATGCAAGATAATATAATTACAGCTAATTCAAAATTTTGCTGTTGAATAATCAAACTTTTCAAACAGTTAAACCATATGGTGACCAAAGTTTGAACGTCCTCTAACCTCATGGTATCCTTTAAATTATTATTTTTAGTTTGTTCGTCTTTTGATCTCAAAAAAGTTTGATCAGCAACTTCTGAGTTTATTTGAATACAAATTCTTGCAAAATAATCTAAACCCAATGGAGAAAAATGCTCGCTAGGACCAGTTAGGAGAGAATCAATGGACAATAATGCTATCAAGTCTTTATAAAAAGTATTCCATTGGTTCCCATTAACCTCTCCGTACATGTTAATAAATAATCTTGTAATTAGTTCAGATATTTTATTTCTTAAAAATTCAGCATCTTTAATATTGCGGTTAATTTTACCTCGAAGGAATTCCACTATCGAATTCTTAACAAACAATAAATCGACTGAAGTATTCATTGCAACTAGATCACAAAGAATCTGCAAAGATACAAATATACATAAATCATCTGAACCTGAGTCAGTCAACATGGAACAAAAAATCTGAATTGCATTTGGATCAGACTTCATCTGTTCAAGGTAATCCAACGCCTGTTTTTTAGTCACTGCATCGGTAGCAGGATTATTAGCCAACGAAACAACCTCTCTAATTCGTTGTAACATATTCAACTTGTATTCTTCTTCAACCAACGTTTTGTGCGTGTGTGTATGCGTATGCGTTTGCAAGAGAGTAAGTTTTTATCACCAAGAGAATCTTCCAAATATACAAAACTCCCCACTTACAAAAACTTTTACAAAACTTTCTATATTCACAAACAATAAACAACAAGTAAATGACTATAATATGCGATTTATCTTTCTCTCTATCTCTCTATCTCTCTATCTCTCTATCTATCTCACTTTCACTTTCACTTTCACTTTCTCTCTTAGTACTTATATACAAAAAAGATCAAAACCACTTCAAATCCAAAACAAATTATTGAAATTTCAACCGATTCTCGAAGTTCAAAAACAATAAATACCGTCAACCCCAAGATTAACAAACAAAAAGCGACAATCTTAGGCTCTTGATCCTATATACTTAACCAAATATAAACTAAAATAACTTACATTTATAAACTATCTGTCATAACCACTTCACTTTTTAAATATTTTTTTTTCATGCTCGTTGTTGAAAAATTTTGAAAAATTGATCAGAAAAATCGATGAGATGAGATGAGATGGAACTATACAAGAAACAGTTTATTTAAAGGATAGGATTATGTGGAGATGGGGTTGATAAATTGTTTATTTGGTTTATATTTATGTTATCTATATACTATTAAGGTTTCAATTTGTAAAATTTGTAAAAATTGTAAAATTTGTGAAAAATTGAGGTTCTAATTGTTTTCCATTAAGAAACTACTGAATTTTTGGAATGCTTTACCTCTATGTGAGATTTGGTTCTTCGATTGTTTATCCATTTCAGCGTAGGTTAGACCGTTGCTTTCTAATGGTTCGAAGATTGAGTCCCAGCCGAAATCTGTAGGTCCACGACTGGTTACAATCTTACCCTTTGTGATCCCTTGAAATACGTGGAATGCACCTTGTTCGTCAGCGTATGCAATTGTAGTGATGGCTTCTGCTGATTTGTTTTCGAATGGTTCTAACATCTTGACAATCTTTTCTAATCCCATACTTTTCAAAAACCATTTGATGTAGGCTCCTGGTAAACCGTTGAATTCGTCAAAGGTCAATGCAGTGTCTTCTACAAAGACAGGGGTTCCCTTGCCAAGCAATTTCACTGCTTGTTCCAATTTGGCAGTGGCAATAGTTTCAAGGCTAGTCTCTTGCAATTCTTCTAGATCCAATGCTTCGTTAGTCAGTTTCAAATCCACTTGGCTCATCAGCATTTGCACTTCCTTCAATTTATTAGCATTACCTGTAACGAAAACAATTTCTTTAGTCATTTTTGGTACCTCTGTCGAAATATATAAATATGTATGTATGTGTATACAGTCCTGTTCCTCAATACTTGCTGATCAGTAGCAATTGCAATAGATTCACAGTTTCACAGCTTTTTAAACCGTTTAAACCTTACTCGATTGACAAAGTTATGGTGTCGAGAAGGTTTTTTCGAAAAGTTTCACTTGACCTCGTCACTTCGATGAGATAAAAGTGACTGCATTTTAGGCTAAGACAGGACAATATATGTATGATAGAGGTGGTAACGACCACGCTTTCCTTGATAATATGGCAATCAGGGCCTCATATCCTTCTCATCTCATCAAAATAGTCGACTATCTCTATCTATATCTCTTTTCTATAGCCGTCCCACTCTTGTTATACATAATCATCAAAGCAGACACCACTTAAAGTTGGCTACCCTTGTCTCACTGACAATGCAAGATAAATCAATCCAGTTCCTCTTAAATTATTCAATGCCACCATGTTTTAGTTTAAAATCATTTAGAGCTACCGTTGCTTTGAACTAGTGTTGATGTCACAACCATCACTATCAGCATCATCGTAGCCTCTTTGTTATAAATTCGCCTTCATTGAAATTTCTTACAACTTTGTCAAACGTCAAAATAAGGTATAAAAAACTGAAACCAAACCAACAATGACAGTACTAGTTATACCATTGGTCTCAACAGGTAATGTTCCACAATTATCCACTGATTTGATTCTTCATACTCTTTCGAATGAGTTCCAATTTGTCCAAGCTGTCGATTCAACCTTTGTCCATCCCTTTGTTGGACCTTTAGATTATGTATTTGGCCAAGACGACCCTGAACTATACAAGAACGTTCCTCATAAACAATACTCTACTGGGCTAGAGTTATTCCATAATGAATCCAAGGACTTATATGTATTGCAGCAACGTTCACCTGTGATACAAGGTTATTTGAATAATTTTATTAAGCGGTCAATTGTTCCATTGTTGAATAAATATGGAATCGATGAGGTAGTAATTGTAGATTCTTATGGTGCATTAGATGAAGATGTACTAGTTCCATCTTCGATTGCAACGAGGAATGGGAACCCATTTTCATTAGGTGTCATTGATTTGAATTCAATTGGTGATATGTCAAGAGTTTTCGACACAAGTTTAAATTTAGGTGAAAATTCGAATCAAACTTCTAACATTGCATCTACACTTTTCACCTTCACTGAACAAAGTCTTCAACAAGAGATTTCGACACGTCAGGAAGTCTTTAAATTTGTTTACCATTTATTGAATTCACAATTGAATAGTTTGAAGACTATTAAATATTGTAGTTTATTTGTTCACGAGGGTGATAATTCTTATGATGCTTCTGTACTTTGTGAATATTTACCTCAAGCAATCGATAAATTGAACAAGTTGGAGAATTTACAAGCTCCTGTGTCATGGAAAGGTGTATATGGTCAAAATCCCATCCGTACTGCATTTGATGAAGGTATTTATATGTAATAACTTCATTTTATTATTAAAGGTTCCTTATATATAATTATGTATTTAATTTACAGAATTAGAAAGCAAAAAAAATAATTTTAATATCAATCCTTTTCGAATAACTTTTGATTATTATCTATAAAATAGGACAGGTAAAATACAATTTTTCACTTCTATGGGGTCAAGTAATTTACTTACCTTATATGACGAGCGATGTTAGCCGCAGTGTCACTACTAGCAGGTTTACCTAACTTTTCAAATGCTTCTTGATACCTTTGTTGTAAATCTGGAGCATTATCGCTGTTGATTTCACCTTGTCTAGCGTCACCTGCAAAAGTATATTCTCTTTCTACACCTTCATAATCATCTTCATCAGCTTCAACTAAACCGTCATATTCACCTTCTTCTAAATCACTTATCACATCTGCACTATCATCTTCATTAGCCTTCTTTTTGTCATTGATACCTAAATCTTTCATTAATCCATTTATGGATTTCTCTTTTCTCTGTTTTTCTTTCTCTTCTTTGTCTTTTATTATCCTTTCTCTTTCAGCCTTATAATATTGATCATATTCATCGACTTTTTTGTCAACAGCATCCAAGAAGTCATCGAAACCTTCACCTGTGAAACTAGAAACACCAACCATATCTAGCTGAGAGTAAAATTCTTCTAGCATCAAAGACATAGAGTTGACCAAAGATCCCATATAACCAGAACCCATATTATTCTCACCATTGATATCTTGATCATCTCTGACTGCCGTTTGGAACGCTTCAAAGTCTGTCATCCATTCTTTTGCGAAATCAGCTTTAGTGACATCAGTTTTATTAAACACAACAATCATTGGTAATTTTGTCTTATATAAAATAGAACATGCATATAACATATTACTCATAAAAGTAGTTGGTGAGGTGTTTCTTGGGGTATCAACGATATAAGCAATTACTGTTGGGAAAGTTGATGCAAATGATTCAGTGATAATGGAACCTGATGCACTCCAAACAAAACATTCAATTTGACCAGGAGTATCAATGATGACATGCTCATACTTCTCACGCTTATTTTCCACTAATTTAATCACTTGATCAATCTTAGTACTGAATAAATTCAAACTTGTAACAATAGCACCATTTGGACCTAGTTGATAATTTTCCATAACTTTCTTATACTTAATAGAATCACGAATATCAATATTAGCACCATAAGGAACATTCAAAACGGCAGGATCAAGATTAATAACATATGGCACCTCTTCCTTAGAACGCAAATGTGAATTTAACCTCTGCATAAATGTGGTCTTACCAGAACCGGCCATACCGATACAAATAACTGTCTTCATAGTCATCGTTTGCCTTTGTCTTTGCCTTTGCCTTTTTTTTAGTACCAAATTAAGTTGACCAACTATATCTCAACAAGCAGTAGAAGATGTAACCAAACCCTTAACCTGATTCCTTGTAACACTAACTTTTTAAGCAACTTATATCATTGTTCATGATGTGGTTCTGTTCTTATTTAACCATTTCTTCATTATTAAGCTCATCGATCTTTTGGTTTAAAGATAATTGAATACAACGTACATAATGACATTATTTACTAAAGGTATATAACATATATAGTAACCATAGATATGCGTATAAACTGGTCAATATGATGAACCATGATGCCACTATTGATCAGATATTCATACTGTTGAGTTGATTTTGATATCTTTTTAAGTTATCTTTAAAACTTCTGCTTTTAATTTGTAAAAATTGGATCATATTTTGTACTTCTTCAATATTCTCTCTTCTATCTTGTCGAAACAACTTTGATGTTGAGCAATTGTGATATCGTTGGCCAAACTTTTCATCAGTGCTTCAGGCTGTGGTTGTCCTGGCCCACCAATTGGGTCTATTTGTTGTTGCTGTTGTTGCATTTCCATAATGTCCATTCCTTCCGCATTGGATAATAACAAATTGTAAACCGGATTTATACCCAGTACAGAGATGAAATACCAAGATATACTACTGACCCAACGAACGTCTAAATCTGGCGTCATTATTCCACTCTGTAGCATTTCTTTAAATCTCACTGTCAATGGGAATGGCAGTTTCATCAGCACGAAACCTGCAAAAAAATGATTAACCCACCACATAATTAAAGTTTGTGGAATAAAATTGGCCATATTACCCTTTGCCATACTCATCATTGCATCTGACATATTAGGATCTGTGAATGGATTACCCATTCCATTAACAATGCCATTTCCGGCATTCTCTTGCGCAACGTATTTACCTTCTGCCAAAACTTGAGATAAATATCCACGTCTACATTCAAAAGCCTCCTTAGATATATTAGAACCATTTCCTAACAATGCTTGACCTTTATTAATATAACTAGTCTCTGTAAACTTCACAACTGCCGAATTTTTAGCCCCTGGGCTAATCAAAGTCATTATATAATGACGAATAACTCCTACTAAAACCATAACGATAGAAATTGGCAATAATGCCCAGACTTTTAACTTCTCATCTAAAACAAGCTCAGCAATCATGCCTACTTGCCACAATCTATCGTCTCCCATCTTTACTGTCACCCTTACTCTTCTTTTCAGATATATAAATGTCGTTGGTTTGGGTCAACATGTCTTTATATCTGTCTCTTTTAAAAGTCCAACTATCCGAATTTGATTTTAAAGGCCAGATACCTTTAAGATAAAGATGAATTGAGGTCAGACCTGATGACTTTTGGCAAGGATAAAAGTGTTGATATGATTTTAACAGTATTCACAAGATGGTTTAGATTGCTGAATGGTATATTTAATGATTTTCTAAAATGGAAGGGAGTTATTTTTGGTTAGAATTGAGCAAGAACCACTTATTTTGTTTGTATGCTATCTGTAAGGCCAGATAAAATTCAGATTGAATATTTAAAAAGGGAATATATGTACATGTATGAATGTCTATGTAGAGTTGATATTTTTTGTAAATAGTAGCCATTGATTTCTCTGAACCAAATTTGGTTTTGATAGTTCTAAATCTGCAAGGTTCAGTAGAAATTGCTTTATCGATTTATCAATATCTGGGATATCCTTATTCTTAGCTATTTGCAATAGCTTCTCATAATCTATATTCTTGTATTTCTCAGTCGATTCTATCAGCAATGACTGTATATGTTTAGCAATACTCGATCCATTTTCCCTTGCATTTATATTAAGTCCAACGCATTCGACTTGTAATTTATCATTCGAAAGTGTTGATTTTAAAATTGAATTTAGGTTATCGATTTCCATATTATCTTGGAACCACAGTCTGTAGTCAGTTCTACTATCAAGAAATGGTAGCTGAATCTCTTTCTCGAATTCATTAGATTGAATTGGTTGTCTGAAAAAAGTGCCTCTGTTATTTTGTTTGGCAAAACTATCCCAGTAATAATGCTTATTCATCGTCCCTTCGTATGGAAGCCAACTGAACATCACTAATGAATCAGAATACTTCAAATGGTCATTATATCTATCTCTTATCAGTGTCCCACCCAGATCTTTCCTTAACTGGTTAGACAGCTCTGAAGCTTTAGCATTATTACTATGAACAAAGCCTGGAGCTTGCAGTACTTTTAACAGCTGTGATGAAACTCTTTTACCCTTCATTTTCAAAAAATACAGATCAATGTCATACGATGGTGATGAGGCTCAAGATGAGGTTAGTACCTTAATAAGCTCTATAACTAAAATTCTACTTTTGAACTTGGTACTATTGTAATTGAAACTTTTTTCAATTTAAATTTTACTGCTTATAATGTTACACTGATGCTATAATAAAGAGTATCATAAAAAATTTTATAAAACATCCATTATTTTTTGCCATCAAAAATAACGATGATGTAGAACATTACTACTCAAAATAGATATCAAAGATACATAAGATAGGATTCCAAAACAAATTAACATGACAAGTACTATTTTCTGATCCACCTAAGCTTTTAATTGCCTTGCTCTATGGGTGGACTCTACTAAATAAAGCAAAAAAAAAAAGAAATCGATCTAAATTAAAAATAAAGACAGAGATAGTAAAAATATAGAGGTATATTGCTGATTCATATTAAATATAGCAGTTGATTTGAATCTGGTGTATACAAAAATACTTCTTTTTACAACATTCCAAACTGCAAGATGAGCTCAGAAATAATCGACCTTATGTAAATTACCTATAGTGGAAAAGTCCAAAGTCCAAAGTCTCAATCAAGACAAATGAATAAGTGAACAATCCACACTGTGAATAGACGCAAGAAAAGTGATATCTCCAAAGGTGAGGGAACCATTTTACTTACATGAAAGGACTTTACCAGGATCTCTTTCTCTTTGCTGTTATTCTAGATTTGGTCAGCAAGATGCTAAATCATTTCATAATAATTGGTTGTATAGCAACGGTAGCAAATAAGAAATCTATGTAAGCAAGGCTAGTATCTTATCGTTTCTTTATGAAGTCAAATCTGGTAATGGATCTATGATGAAACTTTACGTTGTCGTTACCCAAATCAGGATTAATTTGGCTGTCAAGTTTCAAACATTCTTATTGAAACTACGGGGTTCACTGTGTAAATTTCCCTTTTCGGACATTTACGTAGTGAACAGTTGTCACATAATGAAACTTTGGCAAACAACATAGATGGTGATGATACAGCTGATGATGAGTCTGTTGAAAAGTTGTAATTAAGAACAATATTGATTATTCTTAATTATATACTGTATTGGATGGGTCTAAATTATGGTATCATGTTTCTTATTGGGTGTGTTCTTGATAAATTAGGAATAATTTTGATTTTAGACATTTTACAATACGACAGGGTCGTTCTAGAAGTTGGGAAATATATATATATACATGCATATATATATACATTGAAAAAACAGAGTTATACATTTGGTTCTAATGTCAGTGTCTGTTTTTTCTTTCCAATTGTAGATTGGAATGCCATATATTTTGGTACATTTGATTCATTAGTGCCATAGGAGAAATCAATCATATTATACAATACCCTTTCATCGGACCAAGCTAAACCCCAGATATATATGTAATGTCGAAGAAAAAAGTTAGTGTATGGAAGGAGAACATTTATATGTATGTGCAGTTCAAGAGGGACTGGCTACTAATTGCTACCATGGTCTTAACAACTATTGCAAATGGGTTAGTGCCAGCTGTTACATCAATTCTAACCGGTAAAGTTTTTGACCTATTAAAAGATTTTGCTGATCCAAATATACCAAAAGATCATAATTTATATCATCAATTGGTTTTACGTTCTATGTCTTTAATGGCGCTGGCTGCTTGTGCATTCCCTCTTATCTGGACTTCAATTTCCACCTGGATGTCATTTGGTGAAGGACAAGGGTTTACTGTGAGATATAGAATGTTGAATTCATATTTAGATAAATCAATGGAATGGTATGATAAAAAAGAAAATTTATCTGGTGATTTCACTCAATTAAATAGATGTGTCGAAGAACTAAGAGCTAGTTCAGCAGAAGCTTCTGCAATCACTTTACAAAATATAAGTTCCATGCTTTCATTGATTGGTGTCTCTTTTTATTATTCTTGGTCATTGACACTTATCATTTTATGTGGTACACCACTATTAATTATATTAGCATTCATTTTCTCAAGATCAATTCAAAAATATGCAGCTTTAGAAAATACCGAATCTGGGCTGGCAGCTGATTTATTGGCATGGTCAATGAATTCTGCCCAAATGATTAAATTATCATGTACGCAATTAAAAGAAATTGAAAGTTTTGAAGAACTAACTTTAAAATGTAATGATTATTTTATTAAACTAAGTTTGTACGTTGCTGCAAATATTTCTACATTGAGATTTTTATCATTGGCAATGTTTGTCCAAGGGTTTTGGTTTGGTAACACTGAGATTAGAAAGGGGAACTTAAACATTAGTGACGTTATCACTTGTTTCTCCTCATGCTTAATGTTAGGTTCCACTCTAAATACCACTCTGGGTTATTTAATCTTTCTACAAAAGGGTCAAGTTGCATTAAGAAAGATTCAATCATTTTTAAATGATAATAAAGTAGAAATCGATGAAAGTGCTTTAAAACAAATTGATATTTCAAAAGCTGACATTTCTTTCCGTCATGTCAGTTTCTCATATCCTAGCAGACCAGCTGATGATGTCTTAAATGATATATCCATAGATTTCTTAAGTGGCAAAACTACTTTTATTGTAGGTAGATCTGGTTCTGGTAAGTCAACCTTATCGAATTTGTTACTAAAGCTTTACGATGAATATGATGGGTATATTTCAATTGGAAGTACACATATTAGAGAAATCGATCAACAGGTCCTTATTAAAAATATCACAGTTGTTGAACAACGTTGTACTTTATTTAATGATACCCTTGTCAATAACATTTTATTAGGTTCTCAAGATGAAGATAAAAGTAGCCCGGTAGTTCAAAAGAAGCTTAAAGAAGCCATAAAAATGGCCTGTTTAGAATCAGTGATCGATTCACTCTCTAACGGTCTGGATACCATATTAGGTACTGGTGGTATTTCATTAAGTGGTGGTCAACAACAGAGAGTTGCATTAGCAAGAGCATATATGAGAGATACAGAAGTGTTGATATTAGATGAGGCAGTGTCAGCTTTGGATATTGTTCATCGTGAACAATTGATGTCGAATATTACTAAATGGCGTCAAGGAAGAACAACAATTATATTAACCCACGAATTATCTCAAATCTCAATCCAAGATTATCTATACGTTGTCGAAGAAGGTAGAATTATTGAAAGTGGTTTCCAAGGTCAATTGATGTACGATCCTGATAGTGCCTTCTGTCGTATGAATATTTTACAAAACGTACATGACAAATATGAGAATAATGATCGATTTTCTAGTGTCACTTTGGAGGATGAAATGCATTCAGCCCTAGATTGGGTTTATAAAGATGATCTAATAACTCCTATCACTGGAGAGAATCAAATATTAAAAAATATTGATAAATATATTATTAAAGATAATTTTAGCATTAAAGAAGTCGATAAAGTTTCGGTTAGATCGACAGATAATTCATTTACATCTGATGATAGTTTACCAAAAGACATAGAAGGAAAACCAAAAGTGATGACACTGCGTGAAGTTATTAAAAGAATGATAAGAGATGCTAGATCTAAGAGCATTCTGGTGTTTGGTTTGGTATGTTCAATTGCTGCAGGTGTCGCTAATCCTATCTTTTCTTGGGCATTCAGTTATTTATTAAACGGTATTGTTCCAACTGTAGATGGTCCTGGGTCTCCCTCATATCTAGTGAAATGGTCCATTATTGTTTTATGTGTTTCAGGTGCGGATGCTGTATCAAATTTTTTGAAAACCTTTATTTTAGGTTACTGTAGTGAATATTGGATTATGGATTTGAGGAATAGAGCTATGGAAGAAATTGCTCAGAAGAAATTGGAATGGTTTTCAAGAGAAGAAAATAAGTCTCCAGAAATAGCTGCTCTATTAATGAATGATTTGAGAGATTTGAGATCTTTGGTAAGTCAATTTTTAAGTGTCATTTCTACCTTCTTAACAGTATCTCTAGTTGGTTTAATTTGGGCCATTGCTACAGGTTGGAAGTTAAGTTTAGTTTGTATTTCTATGTTCCCACTTATTGTGATATTTTCAATTATTTATGGTACAGTTTTAAAGAACTATGAAACCACTTACAAAACGAAGGTTGCTAATTTAGAAAATTTGGAATATGAAATAATTACAGGTGTCAAGACTATTAAATGTCTGCAACTACAAAATCATTTTAAGAAGTGCTATCATAAATTAAAGGATGAAATGGGTCAAATTGCAAGGAAGCGTGCTATCGTTACTGGTCTAGGTATTGCTATTACTACTGCTATAGCAACTACAATTCAATCAATTTTATATTACTATGGGTTGAAATTAGTAATGGATGGAGAGTATTCAACAAGAACTATGTTCCAAACATTCACTTTACTTTTATTTACTGTCATGACGTGTAATAGCTTAATCAGCCAAATTCCTGACATTAGCAGGGGCCAGAGAGCTGCTAGTTGGATTTACAGAATTATTGAGGAAAGTGAAGACACTAAGGAACAAACCATCACAGATGGAAGATTTGACGAGATACATTGTGGTGAGAAGGTGGATAAAACTCAACCTCTAGTTTCAATTCATAATTTGGAGTTTGCATATCCAACAGCTCTAGACGTAAATATTTACGATAATTTAAGTTTAGATTTGAATGTTGGGCAAACAGTGGCCATTGTTGGTGAATCTGGTTCAGGTAAATCCACATTGGTTTACTTATTAACAAAATTATATCAAGTTGCTGATAATTGCATAGATATCGATGGTACTGATGTCAATGAGTGGGATAATGAAACGTTGAGAAGACAAATATCTGTTGTTGAACAGAAGCCAGTCTTGTTTCCTGGGACAGTGAGAGAAAACTTAATATACGGTTTATATTTCAGTCCACTAGAGATTGATATTATCGATATATTAAAGTATGTCGGTGTTTACGACTTTATTGAATCATTACCAGAAGGCCTTGAAACATCAGTGGATACTTCATTGATATCTGGTGGCCAAGCCCAAAGATTATGTATTGCAAGAGCGTTATTGCGTAAACCAAAGATTTTAATTTTAGATGAATGTACATCCGCTTTAGATGCCAATAGTTCCAAAATTATCAATGATATAGTGGCTAAAGGTCCTCCATCCTTGCTAACAATATCAATTACACACAACGAACAGATGATGAGATCTTGTAACACCGTAGCAGTTCTAAAAGATGGTAAAATCTGCGAAACTGGTCCATTCAATAAATTATTTAAACCAGGTAATGAACTTTACAAGGTGGTAGCTAACTTAGAATAATAAATCTGATGAATTAACATCTTTTGCATAGATAGATAAGCATATGTAGATACCATTTCACCCACTAAAATGACCTGCTTTTAGTTTCGAAATTGTTTCAGTATTAAAAAAATATGACGTCATACCTGAAATTTTTCATCTGGCTCATCGCATCGAAAGATCATCACTTAAGACCTACCTAATAATAGAAAATAAAATTAAAGTTTTAGAGGACAATCGTGATCAGGAGTAGTTAAAATAAGATTATATATAAAATAAGATTGTATACAAGTAAATAAATTAATATATCAATAGTTATTGTAGATACTGGGATTCTGTATATTGTTGCCATTTATTAACTTATCCAGTGGAGAATAACTATACGAGAGAGATCAAATTAGATAATTTTTTAACAATGGGAAAAGCCAAGAGGAACACCAATGTTAAAAGGTTGATCTTGACGATCATGATGAGTATTATTGGCTTATATGGGTTGATGAGGTTTTTAAATAATCATAAGAGTACAGATCTTCAAAAAATTTTACAAAATTTGCCAAAGGAAATATCTCAAAATGTTTTACAGGCAGCTAGTACTCAGCAAAAGAACGATGTTGATGTAATTGCAAAATTTGAAGAATTGTTTGGTGAAATTAAAAAAAACCAAGAAGAGCAGGCTAGACAATTGGAAAGACAACGTCGTGTTTTAGAAAGAAAGATACAGAAATTAAAACAAGGTAGCCAAGGTGATACCCTACGTGAAAGATTAGCTTACACCTTTGAGTATGATGCTTCTAAAAAATTTCCTGCTTTTATTTGGCAATTATCACCATTTGATGATCCAAGGGAAGATCGTCAAAAAATTAATGGTGACAGTAATGAAGACACTATCTCTCTGGTTAAAAATTCTGTGAGATTATGGGATGACAAAAATCCAGGTTTTGTTCATGAAAAATTAGACGATCATGTAATGGGTGCATTAGTACATCATTTTTATTCATCCACCCCAGAAGTTATCAAAGCTTATGAGGCTTTACCATCTAAACTATTAAAAATTGATTTCTTTAAATATTTGATTTTGTTAGCTCGTGGAGGTATCTATGCAGACATTGATACAGAACCTTTACAACCAATTCCTAATTGGTTGCCTGAACATATTTCACCAAGTTCTATTGGGTTGATTGTAGGAATTGAACATGATGCCAAAACTCAAGATTGGAAAAATTATTATGTAAGAAGATTACAATTTGGAACTTGGATTATACAGTGTAAACCAGGTCATCCAGTGTTAAGAGAAATCGTGGCTAGAATAACTGAAGAAACATTAAAACGTAAAACTGAAAATGGTTTGAACGTTAATCTGAGAAACGATTTAATGGTTATGAAATGGACGGGTTCAGGTATCTGGACTGATGTAATCTTTTCATACTTTAATGATTACTTGAAGAGTGGAATTAATAAAAAGGTTAATTGGAAAGAATTTACTAGTTTGAATGAACCCAAATTACTGAGTGATATCCTTGTATATCCAAAATACTCATTTGATGTACCAAAAGATGCCAAGGACAATAATAACGAAAAATCTTATTATTTAGTATCTCACAGAATGAAGAAAACTTGGAAAGCACTACCAAATGGAAAGTAAATAAACTTTATTAACCATATTTAAAACATGCATGGTCCAAAAATAACCTAATAAATATCATAGTAATTCATATTTAATTTACATAACAACCATAATAATATCAGTAATATTAACTATAATAGAAACAAGAAAAGTTATGTTATAGTTCATATAAATACAAAATGTAAAGAAATAAATCAGAAGATGCCCAAGTTCTACTAAAAACGGGCTTAAAAGACTTTCCTCGTCACTAAACTGAGTTTCTGTTGTCCCTATCTAGTTCCTCATCATTATATTTCTAAACAAATTGAATAACAATTATAGTGTAATTGTTGAACTTCTTGTGAGAAGAATCAAGTTCAATGAATCACTTGAATCCAAATTCCAACTGGAAATCATGATACAAATAATTCTCAAACAATTCGTCCTTATGGTACTTAAAACAAGTTCATAAGTGAAATGTTTTTGCATTATGAAGAGTGTTAAAAAGTTGTTTAAAAATATTAGTTCTTTTAAATCTCATCGCCTCTATTTATATATGAAAAATTTTTCATTATTGACGAAATAAGCCGACGATGACAAGATAAAATAATGAGGGCAAGATAGAATGGTAAGGTAGAATGACATATAAGAGTAATTCAAGACTCTTTACAGTTGATTCATTCATCCTTGATGTTAAATTGTAAATTCAAAACACACAATTTCCTTGTTTTGATATTTTGGAGGGTATTCCAATAAATATGATTTAAATATCACGTACATAACTTATATATTAGTTTTAATCACACACTTAAATTTGAAATTAAACGAATGGATTATTGATTGGAGAAGTACAATACATAACCAGTATTCACCTATAATTCCAATCTTATTTTTGAATTTTATTTTCTTAGTTGAATATTTTGTTGGTTTATCGTTGATTTTATAATTATTTGAAACAGAGTAAATTTCCTATAGTTTACCTATTGTGTTGTTTCGTGGAATATATCATTATCATCTTCTATTTTCAATTTAGCTTCTTTTTCTAATCTTTCTTCAATTTCTCTTAATTCTTTTTCTCTTTCCAACAATTCTTTCCTCTTCAATAGCAATTCTTGATGAACTCTGTCTTCGAATGCCTTTAACCTTTCTTCTTCCAACCTGATTTGTTCTTCACGAGCCAAATAGGTGTCTTGTGGTGCTGAAGAAGGCTCACCCGAATGATCCACTGGTGTCTTGCTATTTTGGGAAGAGACTATTGGAGATGAAACCTGGGATGTTTCAGGGTTTGTTCTTGGCAAAGCAGCAGTCGAATCACCAGATAAGGCGTCTGTTCTATAGCGTTCGTACAATATCTCATGAGTGAATTCTTTTAAGTCATTTAAATGTGAAATCAACAATGCATTTCTCAATACTACGAAATCTGAAACCGAGGAATCTTCAACATCGATAATCCCCCAAGGATATTTTCTTCCACGAATTAAAGTACCATCACCAGAATCGAAAACATCGTTTGAACCGATGATTGAGAATGGTAATAGAGAACGTAGATACATATTTGTTTCGTAATCTTCTTCAGATATGTCTTCTTCATCGAATGGGAAATTGTAAATAGGTAAATTGAATCTATCAATGTCTTCCATAATCAATTTTTTGTTCAATTTAACCTCATCTACAGTTAAAGAATCTGCTTTACAAACAACTGGAATTATGTTCACTAAAGTACCTAGTTGTCTGATAAACTCTACATCCATTTCCTTCAAACCATGACCAGTTGGACTGATCATATATAAACAAGCATGGATTCTACCATCTTTAAATCTTGGATTTCTTCTAACACGACTTTCTTCCAACAGAATCTCATCATACTGGTGACGAACATAATCTGCAATCAGTTCAAAACAAGGAGTGTTATCTATCGAATCACCAAATCCAGGTGTATCAATAATATTTAATTGAATCTTTACCCCCTCCTCATCTTCCAATTCAACAGTCTCTTCCCTCAATTGAACTGGAATTTCAACTGAATTATCAGTAGGCAACATCACAGTTGTAGAAACATCAACAACTTGTTGACCACATAAAGTATTAATAAAAGTTGATCTACCATTACCACTTTGACCAACAACCATCAAAGTGAAATTGATCCCCCTCTTCAAATGTTTTCTCTTCCTCAAAGCAGAAGACGCTTCAATTATACCACTCATCCTAATCAATTAGCTTGATAACTTCTACCTTTATAAACTATTAATTATCAACTAAAACAACAACAATTGTTTAATCCAATCTTTAAATATCTTATTTACTATTAAAATGTTGATGTATTTTTTAACACGGGCTCGTATTGTTTTATATCCAAATCGAGAAGTTCGGCGAGGCATTGATTTTTTCAATTCGAGACTGCCAAGAATGTTAAAAAATTTAAGGTTAACTGGTTTCGAATTAGTTTTATAAATTAATAATCCATTGTTCATTAAAAGTTGGTTTACTAGTTTTGATTTAGCTCAATGTTGATATCAGAATTTCTAGTATCGGAGTGAGTATCTTTTGAGAAGGAATTGAGCAACAAGAGAAGTTCCAGTGGCTGAATTGGATTAGATTGAAGCAATAGGAAAAAAAATTATTGGTTATTTATTATTAGTCATAAATACTAAAGAAGAAAAAATTATATAAAAATGGTTAATAAGAAGGTTATTTTAATTGATAATTATGATTCATTCACCTGGAATATCTATGAATATTTGTGTCAAGAAGGTGCTAGAGTTGACGTTTACAGGAATGATAAAATTACTGTCGAAGAAGTCGCTAATTTAGAACCTGATTTATTATTAATTTCGCCAGGTCCTGGTCATCCAAAGACTGATTCTGGTATATCAAGAGATTGCATTAAATACTTTGCTGGTAAAATTCCCGTCATTGGTGTTTGTATGGGTCAGCAATGTATGTTTGAAGTCTTTGGTGGTGAAGTTGCATTTGCCGGTGAGATTGTTCACGGTAAAACTTCTCCTATTTATCATGATAATAAAGGTTTCTTTAGAAATGTACCTCAAGGTGTCACTGTAACTAGATACCATTCTCTAGCCGGTACTCAACAAAGTCTTCCTGAATGTTTAGAAGTCACTGCAAGAACTGATAAAAATATTATCATGGGTATAAGACATAAGAAGTATACCATCGAAGGTGTACAATTTCATCCTGAATCTATCTTGACTGAAGAAGGCCATTTAATGATAAAAAATATTTTAAATATTACTGGTGGTACTTGGGAAGAAAATGATAGAAACTTGTCATTAACCAAAACTATTTCAAACAGTGGTAATTCGATTTTGGATAAAATTTACAATCAACGTATGAAAGATATCGAAGCCTTATCAGCTACCCCAGGTTTTACTGAAAAAGATTTAGAAGCTAATTTTAAATTAGGTTTAGCTCCTTCAGTTATTAATTTTTATGACAAATTGAGCTCTGTTACTAAATCCGCTTCTGTCATCGCTGAAATTAAACGTGCCTCTCCATCAAAGGGTGATATCTTTATTGATGCAATTGCATCAGAACAAGCTTTAAAATATGCAAACGCTGGTGCTTCAGCAATATCTGTTTTAACTGAGCCACATTGGTTTAAGGGCTCTCTAGAAGACTTAAGAAACGCCAGAAAAGTCTTAGATAAGGAATACATGTCTCACCCATTAGCTAGACCATGTCTATTAAGAAAAGAATTCATCTTTTCTAAATATCAAATTATAGAAGCAAGATTAGCAGGTGCCGATACTGTGCTACTAATTGTCAAAATGTTGACAGATGAAAGATTGTCTGAATTATACAATTACGCTACAAAGGAAATGAATATAGAACCATTGGTTGAAGTTAACTCCAAAGAGGAATTAGATAGAGCTTTAAGAATCGGCGCTAAGGTCATAGGTGTTAACAACAGAGACTTACATTCATTTAACGTTGACTTGAGCACTACCAGCAGTTTGGTAGATTCAATTCCAAAGGGCACTATTTTATTAGCTCTTTCAGGTATTTGTACCGGCGCTGATGGTGATAGATACAAGAAGGAAGGTGTCAACGGATTCTTAGTTGGTGAAGCACTGATGAAATCAAAGAATGTAGAGGAATTGATTCAACAATTAACAGAATAGGTAAATATCTATTGAAATTGCAATTGAAATTTTTTAATGGTAGATATTAATTTCAATCCATAAAATATGTTTCTCTTTCCTCAGTTTGCAATCTTTATTACATTATTACATCTGCTAACCACTCCAAAACATTGTTTAAGATAAAACAATCAGTTTATATAATTCACATAGTTTATGCAAGTTTAATACATATTCTCCATTTTCATCAAGGACTCTGTATGATGGAAGTTTTGATAGATACAAGAACACTTTACGGTAAAAGTGAACTTCTTGCCTTATGTTTTTATTTAAAGTAGGTTATTCAAATTAGAGATATGAAGAGAAGGCCATACCTTGAATCAGTTAAAAATTAGGAATCTTATGAGCGAAGTGGGGATCGTTTTTAACAAGGATTTCTCAATATATCAATTTCTTATCCTTAAATTTTTCTTTATATATTAAATATGGTAAGAGTCCTTAAAAAAATATAAAAAGCATCTTTATGAAAAATATTGAACACTTAATAACCAACAAACGTTAAACAAAACGGAAGTAAACTTGTAATATCAGAGCTATACTGTCTGCTTCATAGTCATTGGGTTAGATAATGAATGAAGAGGTATGTTTAAATTTAGAATGTTAGCCTTTTTCCAAATAGCAATTTTGGTTTCTGGAAATTTTTTGAAACGGTTCATTTTACTAACTAATAAGAATAATTTATAATTCAGGAAGCCATACATCAAGAACCTCATAGAGTGACGGTATGTAGTATTAGTTGAAATGTTCGAAAATTTGAGGGTTAGGTTAAGAACTTTTTATTAACGATATTTATATTAAGAGATGAATAAGAATTGTGGTTTTTATTCATTATGATAATTATTACATTAACAGAAATATCGTCGTAGAGATTTGAGAAATAGTCTAGCACCTAGATTAGGGTTGGTAGATACACCTATCAAAGAGGAACCCGCCAAAAGAAGATTAAAGTTTTCTAATTTTGGTTTAGATGTTTCTGACTTTACAATTGAAGATATGATTAAAGAATTTGGAGAGCCAACATATTCGAAGTTTTTTGAATTTAAAGAAGGCAGGTCTGCCATATTTGAGTTTGAAAATCCTGAAATCATGGATCGAATTGTAGCCAAATATAATGGTAAGGAATTAAATGGAGATAAATTAGTAGTAGAGATTATTGAGCACCAGAAGAGAAATCGTAAGAATAGAAATTTTGTTAGAGAGGGGAGACCAGAACGTGGAGTTATGGGTAGTCATTATCGTCAACCACATAATTCAAAGAATTTTAGAAGGAAAAATGATAAACAAAGGGAGCCAAAAAAGCAGTTAACTTCTCAAGAATTAGATGCTGAATTAGATGCGTATATGAACAGTGGTGATTGATCTTTTCTTTTGGACTCAATTTATACAGATAATTGATTATATAAGATTTAAATTTTGTAATTTTATAATATTGCCTAATTTTAATATTTTAAGAATGTGTAAAAAGCAAACTAGTTAATTTATAAAACAATTATAAATTCGAATAACCATGAATATAAAAGATATATATATTTATATGTATGATGGAACTGAAAGAAATGGATTAAGATTTAGGTGCTGATATTTACACGAAATAAATATATTCACATTTTCCAGTTAAACATATAATAAGAATGGATTGATTTTTAATAACGAAAAAGAACAAAGTAAAGATGTAATTAGACGTTATATCGCTTAGTGACCACCACCACCGATTTCGATGGTTGGAGCACAACCTAGAGATTTCTTCAAAGTACCATAAATACCGAATTGTAAGGAAGTCAAAGTACCAACCATAACCAAACGAGTTGGTAAACCACTGAAAGAACCGACAAAACCTAATTGTTTAGCTAATTGAGCTAACAAACCGATGGTAGATTGACCTGGAGCCTTTGGAGTCTTGTTGACCTTGGATAACAAAGTATCAGCAGGTTGAGAGACAATAGCAGCAGCCAAACCAGCAGTCAAACCAGCTAATAAGTTAATACCAGTGTTTAGAGCTTGAGATAAAGTTTCTTTTGGACCAGCAATACCGTAGTACAATTCAGCAGCGCGTTCATAAACCAAGAATTTAGCGATGTTGTATGGGATTTGCTTGAACAAGATTGGGGTAAAACCTCTGTAAAAAGAACCGACACCTTCTTCTTTCATAATTCTAGAGAAACCATCGACTAAACCATTAGCAAATGTAGGTTGAGAAACCAATCTAATTCTAGTAGCTTCCAAAGGACACAAAGCAATATCAGCAATAAATTCAGCAGCGGCGGCAGAACCCATATAAATAGTGTTCTTGTAGTTAACAGAAGTCTCGTAACCTAATGTATCAACAAATAATTTCTTGAAAACTTCATAACCACCGAATTTGAAAGCACCTTGAATGGAATAACCTAATAAAGTTGGACCGAAACCAGTCATCAAAGCACCAGCACCTTCTTCACCGATAATCTTCTTGAAAGAAGCAACCATACCCTTATTATAAACAGTTGGTTCTAATTGAATTCTGGTCTTAACAACATCAATAGGAACTAAGGAAGAGTGGGTGGAACCACAACCAATAGCACCGGCAAGGGCAAACTTGAAGTAATCAGACATAGTGTACTGAGGAACTTTGTATTCAGTTTTAGTTTCAACTGGACTGCTCATTTTTATAAATTTTTTTATTTTATTTGTAATATGTTTCTGGATCTATATATCAATTATTGATCTCAGTCTCCTTCTTACTGTCAATGAACTTTATTTCGAGCTATAATAACAAAAATAACAATAACGATTGGATATATACCTAAAATTCGTTGAAAAGTTCACTAGTTCTATAAGCTAACTCCTAAAATTAGTAATTTGAACAGGTTTAACATGATTCTATAAGATTGTAAAATTTTTCAGTTCTTAAATCTTTCGAAAATTTGAAGCGTTTCGAAGGTCTTTTCTTATTTGGAAGATCCGGTTCTGCAATATGATTGGTTGAAATTAACGGTAGTTAGTAAGATGAAGGTATTATTATAAATACAAACCGCTTAAAGGTCAAATCAACTAGGACTTTGTTCCTAATGCTTGTTGTACTGTACTTGAAAAATTTGGTTCAGATTGGATGATTGCCAAAACTATTCGGGACTGTAAACACTTTTCGGTAGCGACAGTTTCATACTTAAGTGACGGGAAATAGAATAGATGACACTTATAGGATATATGTATTTAAAAGTACTGATCGAATAGATATATGTAATAAATATTTGGGATTTTGAGTTGTTGATACATCTTGATGAGTTTCCCTTGACATATTTAGACAATTTTAAAAGAAGAATTAATGAAAAGGTACATTTTAAATTGAATTTAAATTTTAAAAATGTAAACATTAAATCCCGGTCTGTCAAGAAGTTTTGAAAATAATGAAACCAGTCATGTAATCAACTTATATGAATGGTTCACAGTTTTTCTTCACCAATTGAAATAGTTTATGGTTCAAATTAGCAGAATCTCTACTTAATCATAGTTTACTATTACCAAGATTACAAGGAATTTTTAGAGTTCCACTAGCACAAAGACAAATATAACGAAGTGTATCATAGATAAACCAATTTGAAATGGTAGAATAACGAATTAATTGTAAATATACCTCATTTTACCAGACAAATATTTGGTTTTCCACTATATTCCATATCTCAATTGAAAGCTGGAATTGAATTGAAATAATCAGTACACTTATACTGAGAGAATCATTTAAAATTACAAAAACAGTAAAACTTATACGCTTTAGGAGCTCCGTCGACACCAAATATATGATTTAGATGACTTAGTTATCTATAGGCATATTTATTTTTTGACTTGGTTAAATCAAACACAACAGTTTTGCCATTTCCTGATTGCAACCTCTTTTTATATCAATAAAGTAAACAAGCTGAATACAATACACATTCAATACGTTCTAATAAAGAAATAAGATTAATCGTTTTAAAACATTTTCGAATAAAATTAACCTTATGTTTTTGAAAGATTCATATTATTAGGACAAGCAGCCTATAAGCTTTTAATCCATCTACCCAATCGGTCAATTGTCAAAGTTATACAGTATATGATGCATTTTACACAATACATATATACTGACATATGTAATTCCTAATTTTTAATTACAATTTTACCATTAATATTGAAATATATAGCCAAACCAAAATTGTTACTGAAAATGCAAAATCATCAGATATTTTTGCTTCTATTACCTAAACAGTAACTAATACATCAAACCGAATGAACCTCTAATTATGAAACGTTTCATGTTAATGTTACTATGACTCTCATTTAAGTAAATTTGAAAATTGTCCTTTACATCAAGGTTATTGATACGTAATCAAAAATGTCTCAATTAGGACATACGGTTGTCATATTCTAAGAGGAACCTCATTTTGGTATTTCCTTTAAAAGTTAAAGTAAGAAAATAAAAAATCTGGTACAGTTATCTGTGAAGATATTATTGTTTGATTTATTTGTTGAAGTATTGTATTAATCAATTTATATTGGAGTTATGTATATGATCTGTGAAGGGGTTTTCCTAAGTACCTAAGGGATAAAGAAAAATAGTTTCCTGGCAATAATTATAAACAATTAATTTGAAAAAGGAATGTAAGTAATTCGGCTTTGGTGGAATTCAATAATGGGAAGAAACGTTTTTCTATTTGGTCTTTCCTTCTTTCTTGTTACCTTATCAAAGGCTGAATTCTAATTTTAGAGGTTCTGTCGAATAAATTATTACTAGATCTAGAAAAGAACAGTATAATATAATATAGTTAAGAAATTACATAGATATAGTTACACTGTTGTCTTTTACTATTTCGAAATTACTGAGGCCAAAAAGTTTTTAATACTAACTTTCCGTGTCATATAAGTCTGTCAATTAATAGTGATAGATAAATAACCGATTAAAATAACTGCAAATATCAATAGTGAAATATTAGTAACTAGCATAAGATCATTATCAAACCAACTAATTCTTGATTGTTGCTGACTTTCAAAGGTAAATTCTTTCGAGTTAGTTCATATCTAGAAATTAACTTCACATGTCACAATATATTTTTTACCAATTCAAGTAAACTTTGTATTTGCAAAAGAGAACCTTGAGTTACTTATGTTTCTGAAAGGTTTTCGAATTATAATTACAGACAGATATTTATTATTAATTTTTTTTTAATTTACTTAGTATAGATTTACGTGTACAATTTTACCCAATTCTGAGAAGGACCTAACTGAGTAAAATGAATAGAATACCGTCCCAGTTCAGTGCTAGATTCAAAACTACTCAATTTAGTAATCTTATATCTTGGATTTTATGGAATTAAATGGTTTAAATATCCTAAAATGATGTGAACACTTGATCATATCTATAATAGTAGCGAAACTAAATCAAAATTGCTTATAGAAAGCTCTTTTAAGAATTTCTTGTCTAATTTTATATATAGACTCTTTGCATTTATCTTCTCATCTCCAGGTAGCAATCATTATACCCTGGTTACATTTCATAATTATTAGTAATAAATAAATCAACGGTATCGTTTCTTATTGGTAACTTTAAATTATTTCCCTTCTCAAGACATCAATTGCTTCATTCTGACGTTTGCAAATAGTCAACCAGTATTCCATCACCGGCAAACTTTGAACATATAAATAGAGGTGTATTTTCACTGTTAGAAAAGTAATTAGCCAGCCTTTTACTCTATATTTGCTCCCTACATTGTATCAATATAACAAATTAAGATAAGTTACTATTGTGCTAGCTGCGTCATTGAATTAACTGGTGATATACAGATATATTTAACTAAATTAGTACAGACAAATTAGTAAAGATGTATCAATTACATTATTTGTTAAATTTACTTCTGCTTGTTAGCTCTTTTTCAGTTGTAAATGCAGCTTTGCCGGTAGGTTGTACATTTGACACCCATAAAAAGGCTCTAAGTTGTGTTACCAGTATTCCATGTAATGAAGCAAGTATTTTTACAAAGGATATTAGTACAGAAACTTGGATTAACCCAAGAGATGGTAAGAAATATCCAGCTAAATGGGAGACAATTTGTACACCAAAGGAACAAATATCTATTAGCACCAATGTTACCACAATTTACAAAAACTTTCCAAAATTGAAAAAAAGATGGTTCAACATTTTTGACCGTTCTACCACAACCTCGAAGTTTTCAATGTCTCCATTCCCTACAATGTCTATGTCTCCATTCCCCACAATGTCTATGTCGCCATTCCCTACAATGTCTATGTCGCCATTCCCTACAATGTCTATGGCACCTTTCCCTTCTGGATTCCCATTTGATGATTGTGGTCCTTGTGCAAGTAAAAAGTTACACACAACTAGCTACGTTTACACATATTGGACTGGTAAGTTTACGTCAACCTTCAAAACTACAACAACTACCTTTACTGGCACAGATGGAAAGGAAACAACGGAAACTATTTATTTTGTAGAAACACCACCAAAAGGCCGTATTTCGACAAGTTTTACATATTGGACAGGGGATTATACTTCAACATTTTCAACGCTATTTTCAACGTATACAGGTACTGATAGATGTAAGACAACCGATACTGTGTATATTGTCGAAACTCCTTCTCGTGCAACAACTTCTACAACTACTACATATTGGACTGGTGACTTCACCTCAACATACTCTACAAATATCAAGACTGTCACTGGAACCGATGGCAGTGAAACTACCGAGACAATCTATTATGTCGAAACTCCAGTACATGCTTCCACTTCTACCACCACCACTTATTGGACTGGCGACTTCACCTCAACATACTCTACAAATATCAAGACTGTCACTGGAACCGATGGCAGTGAAACTACCGAGACAATCTATTATGTCGAAACTCCAGTACATGCTTCCACTTCTACCACCACCACTTATTGGACTGGTGACTTCACCTCAACATACTCTACAAATATCAAGACTGTCACTGGAACCGATGGCAGTGAAACTACCGAGACAATCTATTATGTCGAAACTCCAGTACATGCTTCCACTTCTACCACCACCACTTATTGGACTGGCGACTTCACCTCAACATACTCTACAAATATCAAGACTGTCACTGGAACCGATGGCAGTGAAACTACCGAGACAATCTATTATGTCGAAACTCCAGTACATGCTTCCACTTCTACCACCACCACTTATTGGACTGGTGACTTCACCTCAACATACTCTACAAATATCAAGACTGTCACTGGAACCGATGGCAGTGAAACTACCGAGACAATCTATTATGTCGAAACTCCAGTACATGCTTCCACTTCTACCACCACCACTTATTGGACTGGTACCTATGATTCAACTTATTCTACTGGATTTACCACTATAACCGGTACCGATGGTAATGAAACCACTGAAACAATTTACTACGTCGAGACTCCTATTAGGGCAACTTTAAGTACCTCTACATCATACTGGACACTATCTGGCTTCTCAACAGTTACTCTTTACACTACTACTTTTACCGGTGAAGATTCCTTTGAAACTACTGAAACTGTATACGAAGTTCTAGTTCCAATATTTGAGACCACAGTTACAATCACCACTGATTTTCCAGATTTCATTCAAGTCGTGCAGACACCATCGACATATTCATCAGAATACACAACTGTCACTAACAAATTTGGTAAAGTATTTGCAGTTATGGTTTATTACGTCTGGTTTCCTCCAAGTAGTACTCAAACCCAAGAAGAAACACTTTCTCAATTGAATTTCTTATTTTAATTATAGTTTATATTTCGATTCAAGTACTTAAAAACCAGGAATTCTAAGAGTAAGGGAATTTCTTCACTAAGATTTTAAATATAATATATACCATTTAGACATGACAATTTCAAATCGGAAAAAACTGCTTAGTATAGGAATAAAGTAAATTACTTGTGTTCATCTGCCACGTACAATATTACCTTTATATCAAAATAATATTTAAATAAAAATCATTATTAGAAACGATATTTAAAGGAATCCTAAGAACAATGTTTTTGAAGCGCCATTGTATATAACACCATCTTTTCCAAATGGCTCTTATTTCTGAACAAAAAACATCTGAATTTTTATCAACATTAAGTAGTTTTTCAGAAATTAATATTTCCAGTACGTATACACATGTATTAATTATAATACAGGTTATACTTGAGCATATCCTTCTTTACAATTATTAGCCTAGAAAATAATCATTCTGAACAAAAGAGAGTCTTTGAATCATCGAATAACAATAAACTTAAATTAGCCTTTTGATGCACGTCACCTAATCGGTTAATAATTTAGAAATATAATACTTACGTTTTTGTTTAATGGTTACTAAAACAAGAAACATCATTCATAAAGTATTATCCTATCTTTTTAACCGGAAAATTTAACATTTGGACAAGAAATTTTTTCAACAACAAAATTAAACCCATATGATAGGTCAAAATGATGTATACGATAAACTCAAATGAACGATATTTTAATTTGAGATTCTTGGATTTATTACTTTTCAAGTTGTAGTTTCGATAATACTTTAATATATTACATGTCATAAACGACATCCAAGAGCGTAGAATATTGATAAATACCATAATATATTTGGCATAGAAAGATCTAGGAGAGAAAATCAGCAACAATAGCGAAACAAAAGTACTCAAGGCAAGCATACCTTCTAACTCAATCCATTTGTCTTGGTTTAAGTTATATTGAAGAGAGACAAACTTTTTTTTATTAAAAAGATGTAAGGGAGTAGATGACCATAAATTTCTGTATATACATTTCGAGTCAATAATTCACCCAGTAAAAAGACATTGCATCAAGTAATAAAATTGATTCTCGAAAAATGTTGTCTGTTTACTTCTTCATGCTTAACTTTTTACTGACCAAAAAATAGCTACAAGAGAAATTGTATCAAAAAGTAAAAGAAAAAGCAAAAATAAGTAAAGAGTAAAATATTGAGCTTTGATGAAATAATTCTATCAGTCAATGTAGCTTTTGCTCTATTTTATCAGTAGAATCTTTTTTGGTTGATTCCTACTAATCTGTATCATTTAATATAATTCGTAAGAAGTCGCTACATCATATACATTTTCTATCCAATTTCCTCGTTCGTCAAATGACGGAAGCAGTTTCCGTAATAGGAAATTATTAGCAAGGCAAAAAAGATTATCTTTTATCTGAATATAGGAGGAGCGAAGAAAATTTGTAATTCATTCCAAATTTTTGACACTATTTTTTTCTACATTCTAACCTCATAAGCTATTATTTTGCAATGCTTCTCTGGGCAAGAGAATTGAATGAGCTTTTTGAGACTACTAAATTCCTTTTAGGTTCATGTCAAAAATTCCAAACAGCTTTGAAGTATTTTAATTCTTTCTAGATAATTCTCTTACGCAATGTGTATCCACATTTGGTAATTTCTCATATATTCTTTTACCTCTCACCACTCTCTCTTTATCTTTATCTTTCTGTTTCTGTTTCTGTTTCTGTTTCTTCTTACTAAATCTCAGAGTAAATAACCTAGAGTTATTAGTTTTTTTTTCCTATCAGATATATATTTCTTTTCTATATTTTTATTTGGTAGGTTCGAATAATATACTACTAATAATAAATATTGTAGAACAAGAAAAAAATATAGCTCTAAGCTAGGTACTAGAAGAGGAAAGACACGTATTACACCATTTTCGAGAAATTTTAAGAATGAACTAAAAGACATGTTTTTGTCAAAAAGGAAGGTATGCTTCCTTTTTGGGGAAATTACCACATTTTTTAATAGAAATATTATTTATACATTTCTTTTGCTATATGTTGAGTTTTCTTGATATAACTAATTTCGATGTTATACTTAACAGAGGGGGAGTTAAGTTAGAGCTTTGAGTAAAGGACATCAGGGTATTAGGAGGATATTTACTATTGACTTTTATTTATTAATTTGTTTTTGTTTTAAGACTTCTACTGAATTATTATAGGACTCTTTTTACTCACTACTGAGATTTATTTGGGGGATAATATCAACTATTCTTAATAGATTTTGTCAATTGATGTCCCTGAAAATCTGCTGATGAGCCTACCAGCACCATCTGTAAATTGTCATTGGAATAGGATCTATATGCATCCCATTGATGCAATCTATTAACATTAGAGTAGCTACCGTTAACCCACTTTCTCATAAGCCCAAGACACTGGACAAAACATACCAAATCTCAGATTTCTACATTTCATTATTAGAAATATAAATACACACATTTAAATATAATTGATTATTATACTGAAATTCTCTTCCTTTTTTAAAAACACATGGAACTTTAATCGGTATTTCTGATCTTATTTTTTTTATCAAAAGGTATTGGACAAAATAAGATTCTATAAGAAAGATAAAATGAAGGCGATCAAATCCTGCCCTACTTTGCTAGTTTTATTATTTGTTTCATTGTTACGTTATGTAACTGCAGTTGCGATATATGAAACAACTGTCTATTTAACTTTAGAATGGCCTGATGAAACTACTTCTACCAAAAAGCCTGCCACTACTAAAGCTCTTCCTTCCCCAAAAAAGACTATAAGAGGTAAGAACAAGATCCAGAAGAGAGCGGGTGTTGAAGAAAATGGAAATGGTGCGTTCGTTATGTACACTGACATGCCAGACTCTGCAGCAGACAGAGCAGACAGAGCAGCAGATGCTAGAGCCACTATTCTTACCGAGTCTACTTATTCCATTGAAATTAATACTATTACTAAGAGTGATGGTACCCTAGATGTTGAAACGACTTATCACGTTTATTCAAGAGCTCCATTTACAAGCACCAGAACATCTAAAGTTTTAGGAAGTGCTGATTCAACTACTACCTTAGAAACCATTATTACTACTTATGTTGGTACCAACAAGGGTGTTACGACCGAAACTATTTATGTAGTTGGTACTCCTCGTCATGCTTTAACTTCCGTGTCTTATACTCATTGGACAGGTACTTACGAATCGACAATCAACACTATCATTTCTACAATCACAGATCAAGATAACGAAGAAACCACTCAGACCTTATACATTGTAGAAACTCCACAATCAACAACAACTACTACCCCTATTGAAATTACAACCACTAGTACTACCCCTGTTGAAATCACAACCACTAGTACTACCCCTGTTGAAATCACAACTACTAGTACTACCCCTGTTGAAATCACAACCACTAGTACTACCCCTGTTGAAATCACAACCACTAGTACTACCCCTGTTGAAATCACAACCACTAGTACTACTCCAAACCCAACTACTACTACAACTAGCAGTGTTCCTATTACTACCTCAAGCAGCTCTGACATCACTTCTATGTCAACTATACAATCTGCTCAATCCAGTTTCTTTTGAAACTGCCGATATCAACTCATCCAGTTTTCTCTGTCCCTGAATTTTCTTCTTGGATTCCTTCCCAAATGCTACCATTTCTAATTCAGTCACTATACCATTTCCCGTTACACCAAGCAATGTAACAGAATCGGTAGCACCACTACCCATATCACTACTACCGATTCCGAAGGTCATACTACTACCATTACTTCAACTGTTCCATGTGAGACTTCTGTTTATGAAACAACTGATTCTCAAGGTAATGTCTCAACTGTCACTACTACAAAGGTTATTAATACAACACTTTACACTACTACATGTATCACAACCACTGATTCGCTAGGACATACTGTTACATCTACCTCTACAATTATTTGCGAAGAATGTAGTGCTAATTCAAAGTTCCCAACAGCATCTGGTTTGACCGATTCCCAAACACTAACCAAAACTAGTACCAAATTGTTAACAACTTACCAGCCAACTACGACTTCATCAAGTACTCACGCTGTTTCTTCCTTTGAAGGTATGGCTCCAATAAAGGATCTAGACAATACTCTGTTCGTAATGGTTGGTATGGCTCTATTATCATTCTTAGCTTAGTTTTAAATTAAATTAAATTAAATTAAAGCAAAGTAATATATATATTATTGTTTCTAGTTCGTTTATACATACTTTTACCTCGTTTTATCATTATAGTTCTTAAAAGTGCATTAAAAAAATAAAAAATTATAGGGTTAGGTAATGAATTTAGATGACATTTACGTGATAAATTCGTATGGTGAAATAAATGGAAACTGGTAAATTAAGGAAAGCCATATATAGATTTTTCTAAAAAATGTCTTCGAATATAGTCTCAATACCGCCCCTTTTATCTATCAACAATGTGTTATATAGTCCTTTAATTATTAACTACAATTTTTAATTATTAACTACAATTATTAATTAATTGAGTTAACAATATGAAATAGATATATCCGTTAATTAAATCAAAAACTTACTGATTTCTCAGATATTTCGGAGAAATAGATATTAAGTTATAATAAAGATCATAGTTTTTTATAATTATCATTGATATATATTAAATCATATGATAGCAAAAAAGCATTCAGGTATATTGTTCTCAAGCCAAATAACTCAAAATAGAAACTCAAAAATGAATAATTAAGAAACTTGAAATGATATTACAATCAAATCCTGCATTAAAATTTATCAATTAAATATATATCATTAATAATATAAACGCTATTAAAAGTTATAGTAATTCCGAAAACTCTGCCAATTTGTTTATAATTGATTTAAAGGCAAAATACAACTGTATAGTTGCATATAGAAAGATATTAGACGCTTTTTGACATAGCGTTTTTTAGTAGCGTTATATTTATATCGGAGACAGGTAAAACTGAGCTGGTAGCATAATGGCAATGTGTTTTAATCGAGGTACTCAAAATAATCCAAAACAAAAATTAATCTATAATTTTTCTGGATTCAATAAAAACCAAAATAGAAAAGTCTCTATATTGAATAGGTTCTGAAGTATTTAACTTTCCAAATCATATTCCTCAGTAAACGGATATTTGTAATTTCTCAGAACCCAATGAACCAATGAAGTTGAAGTAGAAGTTCAAAGAGTATTCTTCCATCCTAGTGATTTACAAGAAATACGTTGATCGGAAAACAATTGTCCCAGTGCAGTCAAGCCAAGGGTTTTCTTAAATCGTTTATTATCAATTTAGAAAAACCAAGGTAACTTTATTTTTTTAATTCAAAAGTCATGTTTCAAAGCTATTAAGTTTAACTTTAATTATTTCTTAAATATGATACATGAAGATGAATATTTAAGATATTCGTTCTTCTGCTGATTGATGGTAATTAATTTATCGAAACAAAAAGGTCATAGAACGGCTGGACACTATTCGGCCGAGTATTACCTATTTCGTACACCGGCTCGGTAGTTTGTTTGTCCAATCTTCTTCCAATTCAATCTTCTTTTCTTTTCTTTGATTCTGCCTCGGAAAAAGAGAAACATTTTCATTTAAGTCACATCCATCTTCAAGGTCCCTGTTTCCAGAAACTGTAAAAAATCGAGAGGAAACTTACTGATTATAGTTTTTGCATTTATTGAGAGATCTCCAAATGCGATAAGAAAACTTTGCACAAGCTATATTCAGTAGTATAAATGTTATTTTTAATAGATGCTACTTGAACAAGATATTAACAAAAATAATAACATAAAAAATATAAATAGGCTTGAGATGATAATGATATATAAGGCAACTACTTGTTTATAATCTTCTATAATTTTACTCTGTTTTAATATTTTTATTCTTCTTGACTCAAAACTATATACAAGTATCGTTAACAAATTGAGATATGTATACTGATACATTCAAGAATACTTTTGTAGTAGACATTTTAGAATTATTTAATGTTGTCACAGTTCCTGTAAATGTCCAAGAAGGAAACTATATTGAACCCTCAGCCTTTGAAATACCAGAGCTAAAGAATGAAATTGAGTTAGAAATCAGTATCTCACATAGTACACAAACATCAACTTCATTAAATACAGTAATAAAATCTGATAAAGATATTATTGAAAAAAGCAGTGAAATAGATGATCCTTTTTTAGTTCAGTGGAATGGTCCTAATGACCCTGATAATCCATTAAATTGATCTACAAGCAAAAAAGCACAAATGATATTTCAAATAATGTTATTAACAGCTGTACACTTATATGGGTTCTTCAATTTATACACCAGGTCAAGAAGACTTCCAAAAAGAATTTCACGTAGGTCATATTGCTGCAACTTTGAACTTATCTATTTATGTGTTAGGATACGGCTTAGGACCTTTAATTCTATCTCCATTATCTGAATTTGTAACACTGGGGTGTCAACAAATTTATATAATTACGTTGTTTTGCTTCTGTATATTGCAAATAGGCGCCGCGACCGTTAAGAATTTTGGCAGAATGATAGTGATCCTTTTTCTTAGTGGTGTATTTTGTTCTCCAGCTTTAACAACAGGTGGTGCGACAATAGCAGATATAGTGAAACCGGAAGTAGTACCATATTTTTTGGGTCTATGGTCAGTAAGAGCAATTGCCGCTCCTGTTTTAGCACCGTTATTGGGGGTAGCGATCTTAGAAGCAAAGGGCGGGAGATGGATATTTTGGTTACTGCTGTGGATGTGTGCTGCTACTTTGATGATTCTAATATTTTTCTTTCCAGAAACACAACAAGGTAATATTCTTGTCCGTCGCACAAGAAGGTTAAGAAAGAGCACAGGTGACAAGAGATATTATACAAAAGAACAAAAGAAGGAGGAACAATTGAACTTAACTGCATTTATGCTATCTGCTATATACAAACCAGTTAAAATCATTATTAAAGAACCAATCGTTCTAGCGTTTGATTTATATCTTGCAGTGTGTTATGGTGTATTTTATTTGTTTTTCGAAGCTTTTCCATTAGTCTTTGTCGGAATATACAATTTCACACCGGTGGAATTGGGTTTAGGTTTTATGGGTTATCAAGTGGGTTGTATCATTTCTTATCCAATATTTATTGTTTTTTTGGTTAAATATTTAAATCCTCGCTTTTCAGATAACACTTTTAAACCTGAAGATTTTATGATTTTACCAATGCTTGTATGTTGGGCCTTACCTTTATCTCTATTCCTTTTCGGTTGGACTGCGGGAGTTCATTGGATTTTGCCAATAATATCAGAAGTATTTTTTGTTATAAATTGTTTCAATTTATTCCAGACTAGTTTTGCGTATTTGGCATTGTGCTATCAAGATCATGTAGCATCGGTCTTTGCTGGTAATGCTCTAGCACGTGCAGGGTTTGCTTGTGCTTTCCCATTATTTGGTCAAGCTATGTAGAATAAGTTGGGAAGTGATAAATATCCAGTAGGTTGGGGTTCATCATTGTTAGGTTTTTTCTCACTTGGTTTGGAAATTATTCCATTCGCCATTTATAAATATGGTAAATCATTACGCCGCAAGTCAAAATTTATAAGCTGAAATTAAAAGGTACGGATTTTTGATCAATTAGGAATCTACAACAAACATAATTTCACAGAGTTACTGCATTTTTAAGTTTTTATATATATATATTCTTAAAACTTATAATTATTTATTATTTGATTCTAAAAAAATCCATTGCTGATGTATTTTTTCTTGTGATAGATAACCTGCCAGGACACCTAATATGTATTTTGCTAATGTCTCATATGTTTCAAAGATACAAAATGTCAATGGTGAACTAAATACTATCTATTATTTTTCAAGAAGACTTAATTATAAATCCAACATTTAACAAGACTATTGGCTTTTTGTTGTAAGTTACAGATGCGGCTATTTCCATCAGGTTATTGAATTGCTTTGTTGCCTAATTATTTTTGATTATTATTATCTTTGGTCTATCAGTGAATTGGCACTATTTAACAATATATTTACTATTTTTATGTTAAATACGTCCAAGGTGGCAAGGAGATTTACTACAGATGAAAACTCAAAATCAACAAATTGTTTTATATTATTTTAAAACTTTGAATTAGTATTTACAAATTTTATAGTGTAGCAATGCATTCACTTTATTCAAGTTTTTTCTTGACTTCGTTAAATTGAAATTTCTCTCCGTGACGGAATAGGCCATTAGCTCGGCTCGGTTCGGTTCGGCTGGTTTGAGTTAGATTCGGCTCGGTTCAATTTTTCTGTACGTTCTCCACAGCTTTTTAGGGATAAAATATACTATGAGTATATCTCTGCATCCAGTATGTTTTTCTTTGAAGAATTAAAAATACCTATTTTATTGTCATACTACTAACAACGTTATTTATATTGGAATGTTCATAAATGAAGAAAGATATCTTTGCAAGGTAAAAAAAGGGTTTACAAATTTTTTGATGTAATTATTTTGAATTTCTAACATTATTTATTTCAAGTATATATTAATCAATTTCATAAAAAATACAACTCAAACAGTAAACAGAATTGAACCAGCCAATAATACTATATA